AGGGAATCCATAGCTGAGCGTCTACAGCGCTACTAGCGGCTAGTGCTATTACTTGATACTTGTCTCGCCGACCCCAGTATTCTATTACAGTATTATATTCAGGGCCGCTATGAAAATAAAAAAATACCCCGGCCGCAGCAAACCTGCAGACTAAGTGAATTTCCATTTGCCTGATTTGATCTTTAATTAAATCTATTCAAATAACATTAGGTTTAATGAGTACCTATTAAGTTTGCTGCCTACAGGGAGGGCAATAAAGTGTGTTTTTTAGTAAAATATTAATAGCTTAGTATAAAATAAATGGATTTGCCAGGTTTGATCCAAATATATAAATAAACAAGCAAACTACAACAGTTTACTTATCCTCCATAAGAATAACATGGGAATTTTTAATTTACAATTTTCTCCGGAACCAAAAAGCTGAGCTTTTATACAGAAAACACTTCAATATACTAAATTGTTTGTTTTTTAAGCTCTTCAAAATGGTCTAGAGAAAATATGGGAAATTTTAAGTTTTGAGGGTCAAAAACGAGAAAACCCAATTTTTATCTCATAAATCCCCCCATAAAACCCCGTTGCGTTCCCATGGTCCGATCAATCGATCATACTGGTTCGCGAACTCGTTTGAATAAACGTAGGTTTACACGTTTGTACCAAATTTCGTCGAATTATTTTTGCTTGAGCTATCGTGCTACCGGACATATGTATGAATTTGAACGGATGGTGTTTTTTGGCTTCTAGGGACATCAAAATGAAAAAGTAAATCGGTCCCAGGTCCAAGTCTTACCATGAGACCTACGGTAATACCTTGTTCCCTATAGGCCTATGGGAAATTTGCTAAAAAACTAAATATGTAAAATTTACATTTAGTCCAGGCAAGGAATGCTCAAAAATGATATAGTGGGAAATGTTTAAAACACAATTTCTGACTTCGTAACTTTCTTAAGTCCCTATAGTTAGGTGGTAAACGTACAAAAATTCCCTGCCTCTAGCCCTTGTGCTGTGTGGGACGGGGGAGGCTTGAAAGTACAGTTTTTTTTTCAGTTTTTTTGCTGTAATCTCGGAAATCATGCGCCCAAACGAAATTATGGCTATACACAAAATGAAAGCTTATTAAATTGCCAGCAAGTTTGTCATTTACTATTTTTCGATATCTTGTATGCTTTTCGCGTTATTTACTACAAAATATTTATAGATTTTTTTATTTTTTTGACAAGTTAACTGTTAAACGATGCACCCTAAAAATAAATGCTGGGTATAAAGGGTTGTAAATAAGAACATCAAATTCCCTTCAATAATATATTTGACTTTACTACCTTTACCTTCTTCTGTTCAGATCTTAACAAATTAACCATCAGTATGATAAAATTAAAATTTAATTAAAATTTAAGAAAATTAGAATTTAGTTTTGAGCAAGGAATTTGAAGTCTTAAGACAGATGTTGACTAATAGATTTCAATTTATCACCTTACCCAGCCAACTAATTGGTTGAAACATTCACCATTAAGTAAAGTGAGTACCACCCATTATAGCAAATACTGTATATACTTGTGGGCTGCCTATCCAGCTTCCTCACGGTGACCTAGCATTTTTACAGGAAGCATGTTCGCTGAAATTTTTATCCCCAAACGGGAGATGTTTTTATGTTTGACGGTTAAAACTGAATACTTGGAACAGTTTTGATCTAACTTAATACGCCTTTGGTCACTGTAACATTACTTGTAAAAATATACCAACTAACTAATAAATAGTATAGCTCGGTTTTGTTAGGTCCCATCCCCACCAGTTCCTCTCTACCTTGTCCATTACAAAAACAATACAACTACTTACTATACACTATATATACTACTTACTGTACGTACAAATATAGTTTGTAATTGTATGTAACAATACTCAATCCCACTTAGATACCCAGTTATGATGTACACTTTGGTTAAAACTTCATAGGTATTGTTTTAGCATAAAATTTGTATTGCTAATGCTAAACAGTGTGTTTTTCCTTAATTTGCATTTAATCAATCTTGCATAACTGCAATGATATATTCTTTGGTTCTAACCCAACCAAACCTTACAGAGGATTTGTAGATAATTCTAACATTACGACCTGGAAAAAAAGGAGAAAAAAAATACTGGGGCTCGTATGGAAAAGGTCCACCACCTAATATTATTAGTGTTTTTAGGAAAGCCATGGGACTGGTTAGGAATTATAGAAAAAAAGATTTAGTTCAGTTAGCTTTTATGAAAACTAGAACTAGAGTCCTTGGGGCTAATAAATAAACACACAACTCAAAACATATCATTGCTATTTTGTCCCAAATATGAAATACGTGACTTCATCAGAGAGAGTTCATTGAATAGAAAAATGTGTAAATTTCATTTGCATAGATTAAAGGCATTACTGTGCCACACTAGAGTAGTACAAAAAGGGTAGTGTAGATTGTGTCACTATAACATCATACATTTTTATAAATATAATTGAATTTAGTTGGTAGTAATAAATTTAAGTAATTTTGAATTACATTTATTACTACCAACTAAATTCAATTACATAACATAAAAGTAGGACATTAAAAAACAATTCTAGTTTTTTTTTCGAGTTAGTTTTGTTTGAGAACTATTTTCAGAACATTGGTACATTTTGCACCCAGGACTCCAGGCCCGCCTTAGTAGATGGGCCAGGTGTGCTCGGGCGCAGGGTAGCAAGGGATTTCAGGTTTGTTTGGGGGACAAGCAAGAGAACAATTACCCTGCACGGAAGGAGGAGGGGGTGCAATTGTCTCTAAGGCTCTAAGTGCAATGTATCAGATCTCTTATTTATTAGACCTCAATTTTTTATCGTCTCAGAACGCTTAGATATGAGTCAATCTTAGTATGGTTTGTACTGGGACCAAGCTGACCAGCTGGTAGAGCGTGGTAGTCTTCAGTCCCCAAGTTTCTTGGTTCAAATCCTGCCAATCACTGATGGGTTTTAGCTAAATCTGATAATGCTTTGACCCTCTAGTCCTAGTCTTGAGTAATGTACAAAACCCTTCTGGGCTAGAACCTAGTTTTTTAGGATGTTAACCTTCCGTCGGGTGCATTGATTTTAAAGCCGGGTTTTCCTAGGCGCGGAGTTGGCGAGCGGAGAGAGGAACGCGGAGAGCGGACTCCACTTGTCTTAGGCAATTTAATGTTACTGTTTTCCTAGAAGCGGAGCGGAATGCCTTATAATTTCAATTCCGCTCTCCGCGTTCCTCTCTCTGCTGGCCGACTACGTGCCTAGGAAAACCCGGCTTTAAACACCAAAGGGCGCTCACGGAAGTTACCTCCGGGAGTACAAAAACTATACAATGATGAGTAAAAAACATTTTATAATAGCAATAAAACTGTAAAAAAGCATGTTTATGTTAATTAAAAGCGTATAGAAACAGACATCAGGAGAAAGCTCTGAATCTGCTGAAAAAAACCATACCTAACTCAATCCAGTTCAATCCGATTCAGTCAGTCCCAGAGCCGTCGCCGTAAACAGTGTTTGAGAGTCGCAAAAGCGACACATAACACTACAGCGGATGTGTTATGAGTCGCTTTTACGACACATAACACTCGGAGGGTTAAGATGTATATAGAATAGAAAATGTTATAGATAATAAACAATAAAAATTCATAAGTGTTGTGGATAAAATATACTTACTTTTTGTACATAAATAGTAATATCATATAAATTTAGAAAAAAACTGCAGTAGTATGACATAAAAACACCTTTGTCATTTGTTTCAAGGACAACTCATTTTGTCATAGCTCTTAGAAAAAATTATAATAGTGTATGAAACAAAACACCTATGGTCTAATGAAACAAATCATTTCTAGAAGGACTACTCATTTTGTCCCGAAAACAAAGTGAGTTGAACCGAAAAAAAGTTCCCGAACAAACACACCAAAATAAGTGGTCTAGTGGTCTTTCCACTAAACTTTGTTCCCTATCCTTCCTTTCAACACTAGCCAACAATTCCGCAATTCGTTCTTCTTCATCCATTTTATAATATCGCAAAATAAGGTCAAACACAAGGGCGAACACGAAACTCCGGGAACCCTGTTACATCTTAGGGCACACTTCCAGTAGTGACACGAACCACTCCCCAAGGTCAACTGTCAACTGGGAAAGGGGTTAGAGTAGCCGAAACCGATTCCGCGAAAGAGGTGCGTGAGGTACGCAAACTATGGTTCTTATAACGAAAAATGTAGTGACCCGGAGGTAACTTCTGTTATGCGCCCGATGAAGGAAGACGTGCCCGGTGAAGGTCTTCCGTTAAGGGAAGATGTGCTATCTGCTACTAGGTCCCCCTCCCCAAGACCCCTTCTACTCAATCTTATACCACCCTTCTGTGTTGTAGATGCTTGTCTATGCTGTCAAGCAGAGAGCAATCAAGACACGAGGTACGGCAGACAAGACTGTGTCGTGGTGTGGGGAGAGTGTAACCACAGTTTCATGTCACTTATCAGAGTGTTTTGTGTTGTAGATGCTTGTCTACGCTGTCAAGCAGAGAGCAATCAAGACACGAGGTACGGCAGACAAGACTGTGTCGTGGTGTGGGGAGAGTGTAACCACAGTTTCATGTCACTTATCAGAGTGTTTTGTGTTGTAGATGCTTGTCTACGCTGTCAAGCAGAGAGCGATCAAGACACGAGGTACGGCAGACAAGACTGTGTCGTGGTGTGGGGAGAGTGTAACCACAGTTTCATGTCACTTATCAGAGTGTTTTGTGTTGTAGATGCTTGTCTACGCTGTCAAGCAGAGAGCAATCAAGACACGAGGTACGGCAGACAATACTGTGTCGTGGTGTGGGGAGAGTGTAACCACAGTTTCATGTCACTTATCAGAGTGTTTTGTGTTGTAGATGCTTGTCTACGCTGTCAAGCAGAGAGCAATCAAGACACGAGGTACGGCAGACAAGACTGTGTCGTGTTGTGGGGAGAGTGTAACCACAGTTTCATGTCACTTATCAGAGTGTTTTGTGTTGTAGATGCTTGTCTACGCTGTCAAGCAGAGAGCAAGCAAGACACGAGGTACGGCAGACAAGACTGTGTCGTGGTGTGGGGAGAGTGTAACCACAGTTTCCACTACTGCTGCATGTCGCTGTGGGTCAAGCAGAACAATCGCTGTCCCCTCTGCCAGCAAGAATGGTCCATCCAGCGCATGGGCAAGTAGCCCACAGCAAATATGTTTTGTGTCATGTTGGTAATAAAATTGTTTTCAATGTACGTGAGTTATCAAGTTCATTTCTTTGACATTAGTGTACTTTTGCTTTCTAAATGTAAAACTGCCAACCTCTCTCACCCCTCTGAGCTCAAAGGCTGGTTCAGCAGGTTGGATCAGCATTATCAAAATTCTACTTACAACTGACTTAGTGGTAACTGAACATAGACGGCTATAAGCTTTTCATTGTGCTGCAACCTATAAGCTGTCAATGCTAAATGTCTAGTTTTGAACAACTAAACTTAAACTTTTTGCGTAGGAAACAATAAGATCTATGGTCAAGCTGTCTCATAAGGTATTCTCTCTCCAGCTAAGAGTAAGGGTTAAATTCCCGTCTTGGCCAGGGCTTGTGTGCATAGTCCTTTCAGAAATAGTAGCAACTTGTACAGAATGTTTTTTGTGAATGGCATTTATATCAAGTTCGTATAGACCATCTACTCTGTGTACAAACAAATGGGGTTCATTCTCCTTCATAAAAAAACATTTAGTTTTATTTGTCTTAAAAATGTTGTCTTTTTCAATAAATTTTGAAACTAAGAAAAATTTCTTCTACATTAGGGTACAAACCACACTTCAAGTAGTAACCGATCCAATTTAATTTTTTCCAAATTGTACCAAACATAAATACCAACTTTCTCCCACAGCATAGCATCTCAATCAGCTGGTGACTGTAAACATCAGGCTTAGAATAACAGTTGCACCTAAAATTGGTATTTTGTTTTTAATTGTATATTACGGTACTAGTCCTGAAAATAGGTGTGTGGTCGTTCCCGTGCACGATGATGTCAAGTGCGGGATTATCATATGAGTCTGGGAAACTCATTTTGGGCGAGTGACGTACGATATTTTACGCCATACTACTCTAAGCTAAATTAACAATAAATAATCTCTACAAATCCTTATATTCCCACCGACTAAGACTAAAGGATTAACGATCAGTATTCATAACCTCTACGAGAGGTTATGTTATTGTTTATAACCACTCATTAATTGCCAAATATAATAAGCTATAGGGTGTCCGGTAAAACTCATTACAGTAAAGGGGTACGGAATGAAAACCCATTTAATTAAGCTCAGGGTAGCCAGCTGTTTTCTGCACTAAATACTACACTGTTTTAAAAGTTTGTTAAAACAGTGTAGTGTGGCGTAAAGGAAATTACACGGTATTTGTTTTGTAATAATATTACAGGAAAAGCTGATAAAAAAAGGGATAAATAAATGTCCAGGTCTCTGAAAGTTAAGTCTTCCTAAGTGAGTGAGTCCGTGGCTCAGTCGGTAGTGTCGCGGACTTCGGGCCCAAGGCAGCGATGTCGTGGGTTTGGATCCTGGTCACTGCCACTAAAATTATCAGTACAGTTCACCTTTGTACTGTACCGGCTCACTCCTTGCTTTGCTGCAAACGTTCCACGCACGGGCGGTTAGTCTATGTGGACAGGCAAATGCAAGGTTAAAAGAGGCCGCCAACCTCTTTTTCGAAAAGAAAAGAACTGAAAGCTTCTTACAATCTCTTTCATGAGTCAAAAATCCCCATATTTCTTATGGTCCCTTATACTCCCACCCTGCTCTGTTTCTGATCTGAGTCTTGCAGTATGATTTTTAATTGGCCAAATACAGTGTCCAGGTCAAAGTTATTTAACTTATGACTTAATATCACTCCTGTATTTTGATAATCACTAGTGTCGCTGTTGCTCGAATTCGAGCAATTGCTAAGTATTACAGGCGTTATTTTAAAACGAATAACAGTCATAATTTCTTATGACTTTAAAAGATTCGACTCAAAGATTATGGAAATACTCAAGATCTACAAACAGATCGATATAATCAACATTTCTTGTAAACATCTTATCATTTTTCAAAAGCTGATCTTGTTTTTTAGTGTTTTCTACAAATAGCCTTACTCTTAGCCGCATTAGGTTGTCCATAATAACAATTATAAATTAAAAAAAAAAACATTATTTTTATTTCTTCTTCTTGGAGGTGTTGTATGACTTTCCTATGTTACCATAGTTTGCAAATCGGTTTATTCAATGACTGCTCAAGAAATATTATATTCAAATTTCAAAGGATTCATCTGTTCAAATTTAAACAAACGTGTTCTCCCTAAGAATAACATGGGAACTTTGAAGGCCACTGGGCGAGCCCTGATGGAATTCTAAAGTTTTTTGTTTGATGGCAAAACTACATGCTGCTAAGACCTTTCTAACGACACCTTGGACATGGTGATCGGTAGCACCACCGCTCCAAAACAATTATGACAAAAATATGCCTAGCGTATTAAATATATAGATATTAAAAATATAGATATATTGATAGATTATCATTGTAATGATAAGAAAATGCAAAACTGCTAATCACTTGTGTATCAATGGGCTAAATTCAGATACTGATACTCAGAATGTAAATAAAGATGTACAATTTAAAACAAAACCAGGTCAATAGATCTACATTCTACACAATTATAAAAATACATTCCTTTAATAAAAAAAAAACAATGTCATACTGTATTTACAGTAAAGAATGTTTGAAATATACAATCAAAGTAGACAAAACAAACATCAGAGATCGGCCAACAGTATACAATGAGAAATGGACATGAGCCATAGAGTGGATGTCAGCGTTAAGCTTGATACAGTGGAGATCCTGCACTATAATGCTGAACTTCACTTGGCTAAGGAATCGGCACTCACTCTCTGAAACAAAATATTTATTATAAGCATCTTAAAATCTCTTCCATGGACAAATAAATTAATAAATAAAACTGGTAACAACTTTCGTATCATGGTCAATGTTTGTAGCCAAGATATTTCACGTACCTGTACACGTGTTGTGAGTCTTCAGCACGTTGACAGTAAAGTAGAGAGGTTCACAAGAAGCACCACACGGCCTCAACACAGCATGGGTCACTTCTGAATCTGACACGACATTCTTGCAGTCTCCTTTCTGCGCTCCCCGCGACATACACACTCTCAACTCTCCTGAATTGTAGGTCTTGAACTGCAAAGCATAAGGTAGGGATATAAGGATAAGGTATTTAGCATAAATTGTCTATTATTTGCCTATAATAAACTATAATGGTTACAAAATACTTTTGACCTATTCTTAAAGCTCTATTGCACAGGGAATTTATAAGCTGTAAGTATGACATACAACTCCCGCTGGTAACCAATGCCTCCAACATCATCAAGACTAATCCTGCTTGTCGCTTGTGCACTAGCCGCTATGTGAACATCACTGGATTTAGATACTTTGGGCTCAAGGACAAATTGACCCAAGCGGGTCCTGACCTTTAGGTGAAACTTTCCGAAATGGCGGTCAAATCGTGAACTCATCATTTTCAAAGGCACAAAACATTAATTTTACAAAACTTTAATTCCCAAAAAAATAGTTTTGTGCAAGACACTACGTACGGTCCCATTTTGCTTGTGGTCATAAGCTTAGTGGTAAATCCATCTCTGGCTGTGAGTACACTTGGATAGTTATAGTTGGATAGTCTAGTGTACTAATAATCCAGTGAGTTACGTGTAAACTCACTGGCAGATTCAATTTTTTCCAGAGCTTTTTCAACAGCAGCTATGAGTAGGTGCGGTGAGTACATTTGGGTGGTTTACGACTTGCATGTAAAAAAAGTCAGCTAAAAGCTTGTAAACTCAGACTGTGAATTGGACCTTTATACAGAGTGAAATTGAAGCAAATTCTTTTGAACTTTTAAGTGGAATTGGTGGCCACTTTTACATTGAATCTTTCACATAGACCTAAAATCATTGTTTAAGATGAATCAAGCAAAACATAGGGTAATTGCTATAGCTCTGTCTAAGATCAGGACACAGCTTGGAGTTTTTGAATGCAAATACTGTACGAAGAAAGATCTAATTTTTATACAAAATTCATCTGATTCTTCTTAGGCTTTTGTCACACACTGCCGGTCTGGTAAAATCGGATCAGGCATGCTGGATCAGGTAAATTTGGAAACCATTCGAAAACCATTTAATTCAAATGGAAGTCCCCATACTGCATCCGGTCAGGTGCGGTCCGGTAAAATTATTTTGGATGAGAAGCGATAGGCTTTCGGCGCTGGAGAGCTCGCGCATGTGCAGACAACTTCTATTCACCACGTGACAGTGACAGTAGGCACTGAAAGAGAATGAAGTTAAAATAAATTTCCATAAATTTCTTGAAACTCATCCGGAAGTACTGAAAAAACTTTTTGTTGTCAATCAAGCGTGGGAACAAGGTATGAAATTCTCCCTCATTTATTCTACTTGCGTTTATACTGTGCACCCACAACCTCTTCTGTCGCCGACGCTTTCTTCTTCCGAAGCAAGAGCTGCTGCAACTATGAAGATCTCTTCTACACTGTCACTGTCACTAATTTCTTTAGGGAAATTTTGTTAAAATTAACTAATTTGTTGTTGGTTAAACACTTCTTCAACTCACAGTAGCCTACTGCTGTCCTCTCATAGGCTAGTTGCCGGAACTGGAACGCCTGATGCAGTGTGTGGAAATTTGCCGGATCCGGCGAAAAACACCGGATCAGAATTAACCGGACCGGACACAGTGTGTGACGACTGACGAGCCTTACCGAGACCATCACTAAGGCCTGATCAATGACAGCTGTGTCCAGTTTTTAGATTTCCTGATCATCTATACCCTATATTATAATAATTACGTAGATTTCACCTTTTCTTTTCATAAATCCGTTTATTAACCTGATATATTTACTCTTGTTTGTAATCCTGAAGTAATCTCTTGCTACAAAGACAAAAATATAAAACCAGATTTATATTGAATTAAACTTACATTAATCTTCACAATGTCCAGAGATCTATAAAAGTAATCAGGATGAATCCAAAATACATGTGTTTGTCTTGGAGTGATGTATTCGTTGTACCAGACTTCAGGCCACTGATGTAGGAGTTTGTTTGTACAATATGCTGGCTTTAGGGATCTATCTGAAACGAAAAGTATAATTACCCAACTAGATTATTTCTTTGCAGATGTGTCCAAACTGACTAGTCGGAGAAATATAGGATATGACCTTAAAAAAATTTCAAGAAAACGTTTTATGGTTTTATTTTGTAGAGTTGGGTTTGCAAAATGACATACTAAAAGTTGCCAAAAATCGGTGCACAAGAAAACCACTAAAATCAAAATTTAAAATGGCGGCTTTTTCCAACATTGGGCAAATTAAAAAAACATATTTCACATGCATTTGTTATGCACATTTTTTTAGATATTGACTTGGGACCACCGCCTGTATTTATTGGGTGGTTAGTACTTCATTTTTATAGGGAACATGTTTTTGGCCGCCATCTTAGATCCGCCATATTGGACATAGATATTTTTTTTCAATATAATGATAGTGTTGTGACACATCATTATCAACTAAATTTTTACGCTGATTTCGATGCCGAAATCCGTTTTTAAATATCTTTATTCATTTAGAAGATATATTCAAACGAAAACTCTCCACCATACATTTCTTATGGACGTTTCGTAGTTTGATAATTGTTTTAAAATTATTTTTCTTATATCTCCAGTTCTTATTTACGCTTGTAGTTCTTTCTAGGCTTAAAATATTCAGTAGTGTAAGGGCTTTCATTTGAGCTCTTGATCATTAAAATCAGACAAGTTAAAGACCAGCTACAAACCTCAGAACAATATTAAATTTAACTTTTTAGAAATATATTTTTATTAAAAGGTTTATAACTCGGGTTGTTAATACGACACAAAGTTATTTTTGGTCTCAAATTACTCAGTAAATGTTTGGCTTTGATTTTATTGATCATTAAACAAAATCTGACAATTTTAAAATGAGTCATGGACCATAATTTAACATTAAAATGTATTTATATTGAAATTTGTCTTTAGTTTAAGACGTATATCCCCAATTCTAAATAACTCCCAAAACTCTTTATAGTCTTAAATAATTCGCCAAATTATTGACTTTTATTTAAGCTATGGATTACTTTCCGGGAGTTATTAGGGTTGGGGATATATGTCCTCAACTAAAGACAAATTTCAAAATAAATACATTTTAATGTTAAATTAAGAACCATGACTCATTTTAAAATTGTCAGATTTTGTTTAGTGATTAATAAAATCAAAGCTAAACATTCACTGAGTAATTTGAGACCAGAAAGAACTTGGTGACGTGTTAACAACCCGAGTTATAAATCTTTTAATAAAAATATATTTCTAAGAAGTTAAATTTAATATTGTTCTGAGGTTCGTAGCTGGTCTTTAACTCGTCTGATTTTAATGATCAAGAGCTCAAATGAAAGCCCTTACATTACTGAATATTTTAAGCCTAGAACGAACTACAAGCGTCAATAAGAACTGGAGATATAAGAAAAATAATTTTAAAACAATTATCAAACTACGAAACGTCCATAAGAAATGTATGGTGAAGAGTTTTTGTTTGAATATATCTTCTAAATGAATAAAGATATTTAAAAACGGATTTCGGCATTGAAATCAGTGTAAAAATGTAGTTGATAATGATGTGTCACAACACTATCATTATATTGAAAAAAATATCTATGTCCAATATGGCGGATCCAAGATGGCGGCCAAAAACATGTTTCCTATAAAAATGAAGTACTAACCACCCAATAAATACAGGCGGTGGTCCCAAGTCAATATCTAAAAAAATGTGCATAACAAATGCATGTGAAATATGTTTTTTTTTAATTTGTCCAATGTTGGAAAAAGCCGCCATTTTAAATTTTGATTTTAGTGGTTTTCTCGTGCACCGATTTTTGGCAACTTTTAGTATGTCTTTCTGCAAACCCAACTCTACAAAATAAAACCATAAAACGTTTTCTTGCAATTTTTTTAACGATCCCTATGTAAGTTTGTTTAGTTTGCTTGGACTAGACTGTTGTATTTGAATTTTGAATCAAAACTTGGAGTTTCAGAAAATAAGAATAAAGATGCAGCTGACAGCTGAGTATAGCTTGTTCATAAAGTATGAAATTAAAACAGGAGTAAAACTTAGTTTTTAGTCCCAACTGGTGTGCTAAATTCAGTATTTCCTAAAACCAGTTGGTTATATTGATTTTTTATATACTTTGACTTTGTGAAGGGCCTTAAGGGTATAGTAGCCTTTAAAAGTTTGGTTGTGGTGAGCGACATTACTTACAAATTGGTTTTCTGTGCTTTCCATGGAGGTACCCAATAAAAACGATCGCCTGCTATTCAAACCAGAAAAGAGTTTAGAGCCTGACTGATATTCTTTGGGCAGTATTTAATACCGATGATAAATCACGTTTTGATTTTCAAAAGTTCTTCCAACAATTGTACGTAAGTGTTTCTATGTAATACCTGATCTTACAGCTGACTTTATACGGTTGACAATATTTCCCATTGCGGAATCTTCAGAGGAGATAACTTCATCTGAGCTGCTTACTCCACCAATTTTCAGAAACTGTTGAAATCTACCTGCATTAACTGTGCTTGCTACGTAAACAAACTGCACTTCTGAAACATGTATTAATAACTTATTACAAACTACAAAATATTTCTCTTCCTACAGTTACCTAACAATGTACATGTTCTTTCACTGATTTGAGAAAGCAAAGTGGCCAATTTGGCTCATCAGTGAGACAATGTTAACATTATCTCACTCTAATTACTTTGTCTCACTCCAGATTTGCAACGTGAAGGCACGTTTCTTTACCAATTTATTTGTTTTATGGTATCTGTAGGAAAAATATAATGTGCAACTCGAGTGCAAAGAGCAATCGCCTCACTCGAGAAACCATTCCTCGCGGCTCGTGAGTAAGGATTTCTCTCGAGTGAGGCAATTGCTCACTTTGCTCACTAGTTGCACAAATAACTATTTTTTAGCATCAAAAGTGCAAAAAAGATTTTTGAGTAAAATTTCAAAGGCTTAAAGAACTATCAGTTAGTCATTAGTACAATGTTAATGCTCACTGATTTATGATGACGATTTATACAATTTTCAATTAATAAATATTTGTAATAACTTAATGAATTAAACAAGCTGCTTTACATACAATCTTTACATTCAGTCTTCATGAATTACCAAATAGATAAACAAATCTAATAATAGTAATAATGGGAGGGTGGAAAGTTTTGTATAAACTATAAACATGAAAATAAATACTTTCAAGACAAAAACATTGTTTCTAAAAAAATAAAGGTTAAAGTAACGTTAAAATAACAACTACAAAGGTATTTTGTTCATCTATAGCATAGCCACTTTTCAACAAGAGGTACAGTACACGGTATCAACATAAACTTTAAAACAGTTCGCCAAATGATAGTAAAATGTCCTCAATAGCCTTTCAGTATTGAAAACAGAAATTTTAATTACCACAAGAAGTTTACAGCACATTTTCACTGGAATTCCCTCTGTGGCTTTAGATAAAATGTTCATGATAATATTTTGACAGCTGTATGATTAAACTTATCTATGAATTTCCTACCTGGATTTCGAGATTTTACTAATGTTAAAATATCCTCAGCATAGTACATATCCTTGTCTCGGATTGTAGAGGAGTATCCACAAACCACCACAACATTCTGCTTGGAGCTCCTTGGATAAGGAGATGTTTTTTCTCTTTCGTTTTCAACTTCCAAAACATCTTTCAAAGCAGTGAATGAGTTGTGCAATCTGAGTTCCTTAGGGTCTGTAAGATGAAAAGTTACTTTGATAAAACGCAAGTTAACAATATTTTAAAATGGCGACATTCATCGCCAGATGACTGAAGGTTATTACCCTAATGCAATGAGTGAGGGTAAAGTGCAGAAATGGTTATAGAGTGTAAGATTACTGTGAAACCCGTTTTTGTTTTTGGTCTTCTGTGAGAAGTCTGGGTACCCACAAAAAACACAATCCCTTCTGAAATGAACATTTTCACCCCCATATTTTAGACTTCGTAGACCATTTCTGCATTTCTCCTCTATCATTGCATTAGTCATAAACTTCATCTGGAGATGAATGTCAGCATCAGATATGTTTCTTATGGTCAAAAACCTGTCACTGACCTCATTTCCTAAACGCCGCGAGATTCAACAAATTAAAACATTTTAAAAAGATACAGCGAAGCGTATACGTAAGCTAAAGAGCTGAAAATTCTGCAATTCTGTTCACAATTGATGCCAGTAAGTGGCAATGAGTCCTGTAGTGGTGTAGGCCTACACAAGAACTACAGATATATATATATGTAAAACGGCTCTTACTTAAAAAAAAAACAACCTTCATAATACATTGCAAATAATAAAATTGGACAAAAGTAAAATGGCACAGAATGATAAACCAGATCTTATACTTTTATGTAATCTTTGCTTTTATTAATAACATCACATTAATATTTAGCACACTCCATATATTTGTGGATAAAGCATTTATGAATTGAATAGGTTCTATTTGGCTTTTCAACACTTACAGTACCATTTTGACTCCCCAAGTACATATTTTGGTATAACGTTGAGGGATTTGATGTTGAATTGACTCTAACTAGTGCAGAGTCTCCATTTATTACGGTGATTCTTCCTCCATAATAGCTAATGTCAAAGTTTTGTATCAGCAACCTGTAATATATAACATTAAACTTTTACCTTATTTTATTTCAGTTTAATTGCTTAGAAATTAGGGTCTTATACTAAAACTAGCTGTACCCGCGGGCTTTGCCCCGTTTAACTTCTTAATTTTCAAGATGAGCTCGTTTGCATGGCTCAATCACGTCCTGGTTGAAGTTCGTTCGCTACGCTCACTCACTTTTAGGTTGGAGCTCGTTCGCTGCGCTCACTTGCCTTCAGGTTAGCTCGTTCGTTACGCTAACTCGCCTCCAGGTTGAAGTTCGTTTGCTGCGCTCACTCACCTTTTGGTTGCTAATTAGCTGTTGTCATAAATTAAAAAAAATAATACTGCTGCACCCTGTTAGTAATCCTTGTAACTTTCATGCTATTGAACATCATAGAACAGAACCAACTTGTTTAATTGAAACAGCTGTTAAGATTCATTAATTCCTTTTAAATATGAAAAATCATAAGGTTAACATGGGAAACTCCAGAGCCACTGGGGCGGAGCCCAAATGCCCGATCATAATAAAAACTACTTAGTTTTCCTATGTAATGCCCAAAGAATCGGTATACCGAATTTCAGCATCCTGGGTAAATGGGGAGTGGGAGAATTAGTGATGAGTGAGTGAGTCAGTAAGTCAGTGAGGGCTTTGCCTTTTATAAGTATAGATTAGGGGAAGCAATTTTAGTTTCTTAAAACAAAGAGTTTTGGTTTTGCCTGACTCAATTGCAATAATCTATTTCTCTCAATATTTTTGACTGAAAATCACTTAAATCAGTCAGTACGGTAAGGACTAAGACTAGTGTTCCAGTCGCAAAAAACAGCTTAAATATGGGTAGATTCGGCACTTACATTAGAAATTGAAGTGTAGAATAAGGAGGCCACGTTGCATCGAGAATTACGAATAAATTGATTCTTGGAACTATTGTTCCTTCCCTTGGGCAGGTTCGATCCCCAAGCAAATGAGCTGAAAGATCAGTGATTACAAGTCAATACTGTAGCACAGTCAACCAAAAATAATAACAAATCGATGTAGGGATAATGAACCAAACAGAAGCAATAACATTAATTGCTAGTGATACTTTAAAAGTGGGTATTTTCAGCATGCACAAAAGTAAACTTTCGCCATAGATAAAACATCTCCCTTGGTAGAGGCAGTGCTTGATGAGTAAAAAGTGAGGTGCCAGAACTGTAACCTATTTGATATGATTTGTAACTATTTACGCACCTATGTATGCCAATAATTTTATTTTTCCAAAAGAGAGGTACCGGAACTCCAATCCGCCACGTTCCCCAGCAAATCGAGCACTGATTATAGGTGTTATCATCATTAACTATTGGATACAGAAGTAGACATCCTATATTTTAATTGTCTCTGGAGGCTAGCCAGAGATGACATAAAACATATTCATAGTAAAGAAGCATCGCACATAATTAATGATGTTTGCACTTCTTTCTACTCACAATAATAATGTAAGAATCTTCCGACAGCGTTGATGCAGCGATAAGCCATTATTGAACTGTCGGTAAAGTAGGTTGTTATTTTAAGACTTAATAATGCAGCAAATCGTATAGTCTGAAAAACATTTCATTCGTTAAGCAAACACAGCTATAATGTCAATAGATACTTTTTCTCTCAAACTTTTTATGCAGGAAGATGAGAGATAAGACTCAGATTTGTCAATCAAATGTTTTTATGTACCCAGTTTGTAAATTTAATATTAATAATCATTTCAATATTGCCATTTTTTGTGATAGTAAATCAAATTGTGTCAAGGGTCTCAAGAAATCCTGTTTTTCAAATATCATAATCAGCAAAGGTTCTGCTGTTATCTCCAAGTCCATGAGAAAAATCTAATGAACTGTCAGAGGATCAAATTTCTATATAAAACAAAAATACAAGCACCCAACAAGATAAATTTTAAGATATCAATTATTTTTAATTTATGATTATTAATTATTATAAATAATTATATCCAAATTAACCACTCCGCCCTTCCCTTAAATATTGTTTGATATGTCTTGTCTAGACTACTACCTGTTCAGTTAAAGTGTTTTTATCTCTTTCCATGAGATTGTTAAAAGCAGATTTCCGCTTGCAAACGTGATCTTCAGTCACAGTTGAGTTAGAGTAATACATTTCCAAAACCTGTGACAATTGCTGGGTATTAGTCTCGGAGATTCCTGGCTTCTGCACCTTTCGTCCTAGTAGGAGTCCTGGAAAATTTTGCATAATCAATGACTGACACAGTTTAATGGTTTTATACTAAATCATTCTAATAATTCAAGAGATTATAACAGATATTTTCTGTCATGAATAGAAAATAATATAGTTTTCTTAAAATTTCATGATCTGGAATCCTGTTTCGCCCTCAAATGTACCTTCAATAACAAGATTAGTTCACAAACTAAGCTGGAAAATATCAAAAGAAAAAAAAAACACAGAAAAATGTTAAGTATAGTTCGGCCGCTTAGAAAGCGACCTCCTCCAGCATTGGTTTAGCATTAGCGCGCAGGTCGTTTTCTAAGCGGCTGAACTATAGTCATAACAAGAAACAACAGACCCTGAAAAAAAACAATTAAAAGAAAAATTTGAGTAAATAATGAGCACAAAATGGACAAGTCTTTATAATAGATGGCGTCTCAAGCAAGACTGAGGATACATGTCTGTCCGATAAATGGCAGAAGTGAAGGCATTGGGAAACAGAAACGGCATATACCGGGAGAAATGTCGGAAAAAAATGGAGAAGCAATATCTGAGTATAAAGGCACAAACAAATTTACAATGTACAGTGCAATAAAATCTTTTCACTCTGTTATGGTTAGTTACCATTATTAGAGAACTTAGAAAAATAAAACTATATCATACCATCTATTCCACCTAATATTTCAGCATCAGTTATTTGCCACTGGTGTTTGTCAATAATGTCAAATGGCACTTTGTCAAAATAAAAGTGGGTAGGAATCTGTGTGTTGTTCCAGCGCCCCGGAATCCTAATTTTGACATTCATTTCATACAATGGACTCTGCTCTACTGCAGCTTCTGCCAAATCGCCTGCAAAACAAATATCTGTTTAAGCGAAGTACTTAATTATTACTAAACAGTATTGGATTTATAAGTGACTCATGCTGTAGCTTTATCATTTGATAGATCAGTTATTGTATTTCAGGATGACCCATTTTTGCACAAATATTCATGAAGTGTACTTTATTATTGGGCGATAAATGAAAGCAAGTGAAACTAAAACCAAATAAACTTTTTTTTCAATTTTTGAATTTTTGTTCAAGAATCAGTTTGTGGTTTGTTGAGTACAAAAACTAAATGCTAAGTGAGATTAACTGTCATTGACCCACACTAAATGGTGAGTTTGCTTACGTTGTCATCATGTTAATGTTGAAAGAAATTGGCAGTCAAAGTAAGAACATGATTGAATGTTATATTTCCAACATCAAAGCTCCCGATGGTTTTACATCTACAAAAAACATTCTGATATAAAATCATGTACAATAAACTAATGACTTTTGGATACTGAAGTTGATAACCCATTTAATAGGTCAAACTTTAGTAATATTGTTTTAAATTTAACCTGGACATAGTTGAATTAGCCACTAAACATTTTATTTTCTCCTTTAGGTTCTAGTACTATGTTTTGGTGTGGCATGATAGATGCTACAACTTATAAGCCATTCTTTCAATTTTGTTTGGTTTACAAGTTTGCGCATCTAACAGAATTCAATATTTGTAACAGGTTACGTACCTTGACGTCCACAATTCCTTAGTCGGTATTCGTTGACTATAGTTTCGACTACTGCGTAGTCATTATCAAAACGGAACGTTAAAATATTACATTCGTTGAATGTCGTCAAATCTTAATACATCGAACACAAACATAACACGATCTTAATACATCTGTTCGATGTATTAAGATTTGACGACATTCAACGAATGTAATATTTTAACGTTCCGTTTTGATAATGACTACGCAGTAGTCGAAACTATAGTCAACGAATACCGACTAAGGAATTGTGGACGTCAAGGTACGTAACCTGTTATAATTGATTACCAATTACGGAAGGCTTCAACATGAATCTATCTATCTATCTATATATATAATAGGCTAAGCCGTTTTTTGTTAATCGAACTCCTCCGTTATTATTTGCCCAATTTTGACGTTAGAGGTCTCAAAATAAAGGTTAAAACGTGTAGTTGTGCCCAACGGTATTCGATTTTTGATAAAGTCGTTGGTAAGGGCGTCAAAGGCCCTTAAAGTCAGTTTTTTCTCCATAAGGATAACATGGGAGATATTTTTAATTTATAAAAACATATGTTTTTAGTTGAAAATAGTCAAAGTCTACTACATAAAAAATTAGTGTTTATTATGACTGTTAATGTATATTAAATGTTATCACGTTTGGTAACCAATGTATATTAAAGTATACTAATAATGGATCATACTACTTTATTTTAAAGCTGGGAATAGTAAAATTTAGTTGAGAAAAAGTTACCATGATTTACAAAACCGTAGGCTACTGTAATACCTATTTAAAATCACAAATCTTTGACATTTATTAATTTGACACGAAGCAGCTGATCTTCCAGACAATTTATTTATAAATCAAAACAAAACAAATCCTATACTACTAATTCATGTTTGTTGCTATACAAATTTTTTAAAATTATTTGTTGTGTACCTATCCTAAAAATGGGACCCCAGAAGATTTGGCTGCACATTGTTCAGGTCTTGATACAATAGCCTATCCCTTGCTTTTCCCTTATGGAGGGATCGACTCGGCAACTACACACCGGAGGCCCACAGGCTATCTGTTAGGCTTCAGTATTCTGCTGTGGAGGTAAGGTTAAACTTCAATATATAGTTGAAATTTTTACCAGAATTGAAGGTGAACGTCTCGGTTTCATTCATAGGGAACAGTCAAAACTTCGAGCAGAGCTATATATGAAACTTCATGACGCAATATGTACACGAGCAGGAAATTAAAGAGTTCAAATAGGCTAAAGCTGATAGGAAGCTGATGGATTCCCCATTTTGCCAGCAAAAATGCTTGGAGTTGGATGCGCTGATGATTTCATCCAACCAAACGTCGTTAAAAGTATACAAAATGGTCAAAATGAAAGACAAAGCCATAGCTCCAAAAACAGTGACTGTGATTTGATCAACAACAAAGTCTTGAAAAAATTGCCAGCTGAGCCCAAGGTGTTCGAAATCATTTATAGTTTGCTTGGAGGTAATTTAAACGCCCATCTAGAATGCCCAGCAGAGTTTTTAAACAATATGGAGGTCGGTGGATTGCCAAGACACAGATTGATTTAAAAAACGGGGCAATGGTTTTATTGATGAGGAATATCAATACACCAAGAAGGGCCTCATTAATGGAACAAGACTCCAAGTGGCCAAAATTGTTAACAATTTAAAAGAATGTAAAAGTCCTAACTGGAACAAGTGAGAGGGGACATATTTTGATTCTGAGGATAAAAATGTGCCCGTTGGAAACAAACTTACCATTTATAATGAAAAGCTGCCAATTTCTGTTAGCTTTATCATTTGCAATGATAATCAATAAAGCACAAGGGCAATCACTTAAAAGAGTAGCACTGCTCTTACCCAAACCAGCTTTCAGTCATGGGCTTTATGTTGCTTTAAGTAGGGTGCTACATATTTTGATGGTGTACCCATATTCATCGCGGAAAATTCTGACCAGGGTAATTTTCCTGAAGGTGATTGATTTCACAACTAAAAACTTAGTAAGTTATTCAAGGAAGTACTTTTGTAAATAAAATAGGATAGAAAATGGATTCTCTACTTTCCATCTAAGGCTTCATTCATTACTGTATTTTATTTTCGACTTAGAATCAATATATAACACGATGGATTTGTTTTCTAAATTGATATGTTGTTTTGCGGCGCGATGAGCAGCACGGGTTCACTAGTAAATTCAATATTTGGCTCATGAAGCACACTCTATTTGCAACCCATAGCTTTGATTTTTACTTTTGAACTAGCTATAAAACTTGAACTCGGATATGGGATGTCCACACATCTCTCCATATTGTGAGAGATTAGATTCAATATTATCAGTAGTAGTAGTATACCATGATTGGAACATTTATCTTCAACAGAGAATCTCCTAATAATCTTTACACCTACAAAAATAATATACCAAATTATCATATGATAAGCACAAATCAATTCATAACTTTATCCATCAAACTTAAGACTCAAAAGTGGTATCAACTTGATATCAACACATTACCTGCAAGTGTAGCAGCCCAGACGTTGTTGATAGTGTCAGTAGGTAGCAGACGACACAAGATCAGCTGTTCTGTTGTCAACAGCTGTGATAGTGGGATCTGCTGGGGTGTCAGTGCTGCCAACATAGCAGTCAGTAGTCTACCAACATTCACTGAGCCAGCTGGTGTTAGTACAACCCCTGTCTCTATAGGACACACACTGTACATTCCAGCACCTCCACTTCCGTCAGCTGACATGTTCCTGGGACAAAGCTACTTTTATATTTTGTAATATTATACTACTACACTACTTATACTTATACTAGCATGCTTTATGATGCTTCTCGAGGATGATCTGTATGCTACTATTTGAGTACCTATGAACCTGTGAAAAGGTTTCAAACTCCATTGACATGCATATAAGCTCTTATAAATGATTTCACTCTGGTTATCTTGCCCATTCTAATGGCGCAATTCAAACATTGCTTAATGGAAATGATAACCACATAACAGTAAAACACACTACCTACTTCAAAAATACTCTATTTATTAAAGTAAAACATACAAACTTGAATACTAACTGTGTGCAAACTGTCCGTAAACCAGAAGCTGCAAGTAAAGCTTTGCCACACTCTATTGTTATCTTTAAACCTCACTCGACTGAAAACAAAGTAGATGCATCAAGACTTTTTCCAGGAACTATATTCTAGTCCAAGATGCTCTTCATTTCCTCTGGACAAGTGCAAAACATGATGCCTTGTATACATAGGTACTTAAGAATAGGTAGGTCAAGTGTCAGCTCCAAGTTAAGTCGTACCCCTTCCAGTTGGCATGAGGAGCAATGTACACTCTTAGCTTCTTGTAATAAAAAGTCACAATGCCTCTGTAAGCTGTGCGAGGTACCCCACCTCTGTAGTCATCCATGAGGCCAAAAGCTTTGGCTATCCGGTTGAACTGGTCCTTGGTGTAATATTGTATACAAACAGGCCCATCAAAGATGTAACCCAACTTGAGATCACGGTACGTCACAATTCTACTCTTATACACAGCTTGCAGGAATTGTTTATCGTAGTAGCCTTTTAAAAGAAAAGTCAAATTTTTCTGTGTGAAAGGTACAAATTGATCATTGAGGTATATGAACTTCAAGTGGTTCTCATAAAAAAGACCATTGCTTACACCTGTTTTCCCAAATGTTCGTGTTCGTGAAAGCTCAGGCCGAAGACAAGCTCGGTTTTTCCGCTGCTGTGGTTGTCGCAGCCAATCATCCCAGAAGCTGGTAGGCCACTTGACTGAAATCTCAGCCCAAACTTGTTTGTTTAACATCCAACCCAGCCCAGGAAAGAAGTCTGTTCTGTAAATAACATCTTTCTCTGCTGTATTCACCAAGGCGAGTTTTCCGTTGTCGTTCCACGCAGAAACACACCACAGCGTAGGATCTGCGTGAAGTAGAGGAAGAGTTCCTAGAAAATACTCGAATATGTCAGGAGAGACGTCTAAGTCATCTTCAATGATAATTGTGGTGTTAAAATTGAAGATGTTGAACATTTGATTTAGAGCCCAGCCGTAGTGCCGAGCTATTTTGAAATACCCTTGAAACATTATTTCCTCTGATGATACTTGTATGTCACTTTGGTCAGGTTGTTGTATGTGGTAGAGACGATCACCATAAGATCTTATAGCTTTTGCTGTTGGTTTGTGGTCACAGTCCTGACTTACAATGATTGGGAAGTAAGTGGAATCTGGTTGGTATTTGAGCAACTGGTCCAAACAACGAGTTACGGTTACACGGTCACAAGCCATCACTAAAACTGCGATTGCTTCTGGAGGATGTCTTAATAGCTCTTCCCTCCTTCTCTCATACAGCTGATCTGCTTCCAAAATCACTTCTGACTCATTCCCTATCTTGTTAAACAACCTTTTATCATTTTTTTTCATCTGCATGGATGTATTAAGTCTTACTAAAAGTGCATGGATAGCTTTCCGCTCAAATTCAATTTTTTGCTCCAATTCAGTTAATTTTTCCTCATTGTATGAGTTTATAATGAATTGCTGTTGAGACCGATGACTGCATATGTAGTAAACTGTAGTGTACGAGACAATGGACAGAATAAACAAGTAGGCAAATAGATTCTTTCGCATAGTGAATAACACACCATTACATTCATGTAGTGAAAAATCACACAGCACTGTGAAGACACACATGTTGGAAGTATACATTAAAAATAAACATTAGGATACAAATATTTGAGTGTCTGAAATCCAATCAAACTATTGAAAAATTCAATAACTCTGAAATTGATATAGGTAGGTAGTTTATTAATTTGTTTGTTTACTTCCTTTAAAACATTCAACAAACAATGATGTCTAAAACATATGGGTTTAAAGTATCAAATGATTATAAACATGTGTTCATTTTATTGCCATTTCAAGCAGGGGTGCCCATCCCCCCCAAAGCTCACGTCGCAGAATCCCCCCCAAAGTCCCATGCCGGAAGGTCTGGGGGCTAACCCATAGTTATGTTTATAATGCGGGGAGGGAAGGGGTGCCCCCGACACTTGACTCGTTTGAATCAAACTTTTAACTCAATTTAAATGGACAATTTTCCTTTAAAAAATCTTGTAGCAAACTATTTGTTAGTTTAGTTTTAATTTAAATGAGTTGGATTTTTAACATGCACACAATTTGAATCGAAATTGGCCATGTAGTTTTTTTCCCGATTTCCATGAGTTAATAGGTTTTAAAAGGGAAAATCACAAAAGTTGCAATAACTTTTGAACCATCATTTTTACGGCATAGAGGGTTTATACAATTGTTGTCATAGTCAAAGAGTATAACATGTTAATTTTTAATCAAAATCGTTCGGGCCAATTCTGAGAAAATTTTATTCATCCATTATTTTATAGGGTTTTATGGAATATCACTATTAAAAATCCAAAATGAAAAAAAACATCAGGAGAGACCATGGATTGGTACCTAAAATGCCAAATTTCATCAAAATCGGACTCGGACCACAGGCGTGGTCTGTAGCTCTGTACCATACATACACACATACAGACAGACACACACATCACTTCGAAAACCACTTTTTTGGGATCAGGGTTTTTACATAAACATTTCTTTTACCATATTAAATTGTAGGGGAGAAAGTACTTGAAGTTATGTCAAAAAGTTTGAGATATTTTCTAAATTGCCCTTTAATCCACTTCTGAGTTTGGTCCTTTTTAAATAAGTGTAAAATATTCAGTCTCAAAAATATTACAGGGCCTAAACTTAATAGTATATTTCGTGCCTAGGGCCAAAATGAGGTTTTGCTGGTTTGAGGTAGTTTTTAAGTTTGATACGAGGTCGAGGACTTAAAACGATCGAGAACTGCAAAACCATTTCAGTCCGTGGTACGAACGCTGTTATTCACCACCCCACACTATACCCTATTACCACTAATTCACCTCAATGATAATGCACTGCACACTGATATAGTCAACACAACTACAACTTTAAGGTCATGTGGATGAATAATTTGTGGAATCAGCAAAAATAATAATAAATAGTTGCTAGGCAGCGGTGACAATAAAACAACTATATTGCAATGCTATGGATACTGATTGTGTATTTAAAACGGGCAGCTGATTTTGCGGCCCTAGGGATGTAAAAACCTGCTCGATCCCCAAATGACGATGACAGCTGGCATGGCCTGCAAAACGTAACTTTCAGCCACCAATTAATGTACCTATATGTAAAACAGTTAAAAACCTCATAGTGTGGTAAAATAGTATATTACGTTACTAGTCCTGAATCCCGTGCGAGACGAAGTCGAATAGTGGTTTTTTTTTATACGAGTCCGGCCAACACATTTTGGACGAGTGACGTACGATAGTTTACGCCATACTACTAAATCCGTTCAAATCCCTACATTACCACCAACTAAAGGACTAAAAATCACTAGTCATAACCTCAAGAGAGGTTATGTTTTTGTTATAACCACTCATTGCCACCCAAATACAGTATAATCAGCTGATTGGTGTCCGGCAAAACTCATTACAGTACAGTAGTACTGTATGAAACCCCATTTGATTAAGGACAAACAGCTGTTTTCTGGACTAAATCCTTGCATGGGAAGTTCGTAATAGTATATTACGTTACTAGTCCTGAAAATAAGTGTTTACCGGACGAGTGTGGTCGTTCCCGTGCGAGACGAAGTCGAGTACGGGATTACCATACGAGTCCGGTACACACATTTTGGACGAGTTACGTACGATAGTTTACGCCATACTACTTAATCCGAACAAATCATTATTTATTTCCACCAACTAAAGAACTAAAAATCACTAGTCAGAACCTCTAAGTGAGGTTATATTTTTGTTTATAACCACTCATTGCCACGCAAATACAAGTATAATCAGCTGATTGGTGTCCGGTAAAACTCATTGCAGAACAGTAGTACGCAATGAAACCCCATTTGAATAACCTGGCGGCAAACAGCTGTTTTCTGGACTAAATCCTTGCGTGGGAAGTTCGTCAAAATAATGTAATGTGGCGTAAAAATAGTGTAGTGTTGCGTAAAAAAATAATTATATATCTATTCTAAGACTAGTAAAATTTGTTTGAAGCTCTTTCTAGATTCAAGAAAAGACAATAACAAATACAATTTAATTAATCCAGAATCATGTGTTTCAGTTCTTGAAGTTAACGTAAACACATAGCCTATCAAAAACCTTAATTAAATTGTCACAGTACTGTATGTCAATTTCTTCCAATGAATAAATGACCCAGGCATAATTATTTGGTAGAGCCAAAATATTATCACAAGCTTTCATGTTGTAAAAATAGCAAAATGATTATCATTATCATAATACTGTTTTTTTATGAATCAAGAATATATTATAATAAACAAACCTAAAAACCCATCAATAGGTCCTCAAGGCAATGAGACTATTTGAGAATGAGTTCATAATGAAAGGTAAAAACAAACTCAAATTGCAGATACAATTTAATAAGCAACCATAATCCTTTGACAGCAGTTGGCATGGAGTTGTTCTCACTGTCAAACATGATACGAGTCAGAAAGTGGAAATCCACATATAAGTATCTATATATTTTATAGCAATTATAAAATGATTTATTAATCAAGATAAAATGTCAAACGGGATTTTGATTGCATAATTACCCCAGTAATAAATTAAGGAGGTCGTAAAAATTATCTGATTAATCTTTTATGTGCTTTTAACCAACCACTGGCTTGAATCCCCCCCAAAATCATAAAATCCCCCCCAAATAAAATTCTGATGTCGCATTTTGCGACATCAAACCCCCCTGTGGGCACCCCTGATTTCAAGTAAGTTTGTCTAATGTAATATTTTTGAACCAGACCATTTGTTATACATAAAGCTTTTGATTTATTTGAACAGCACCAATTTGTTAAATAAATCTAAATCATGGCAGCCATATTAGGTAAAGATAATGATTTAAAATTGCCTTATATTTAGTTCAATAATCAGTGTAATAATGGAGTGAAAGATTCATGTAAAGAGTTTTCCCCTTTCTGTATGGAGAAACCTATATCAATACTATTCTAGAGGTTAAATGCCTTTTTGTTGCCAACATAAACACTTGGTCGTCTTGAATAGCGACTGGTTTCGACACTCAAGGTGTCATTGTCAAGCCTTTAAGAAACCGAGTGACGAAACTGGTCGCTATCCAGACGAGCAAAGGATTAAGTTGTTCAAAGTAATACACAAGGTCTCACCTCCAAAATAATGAAACCTAGCATAGCCTATCAATTTGACTGAAAAATATTTTACCATTCATGTACATTTAAAACGTATCTATATGTATATAATTCAGTTTTAAATGTCTAAATAATTAATAATAAAATAACTGTGATTCATTCTTAAAAATAAAAATGTCCCTCCATTATAATTTAAGATATCGGTACCTTTTTAAAGTTAGTATGTGTTTTTTATATTCAAAAATACAATTTTTGAGCTGTTAATTCTCACAAAGATGCTTCCATTGCACCAAAACACTTTTTTGTCCAGACATTATTTAAATCAAACCTTAGAGATCAATGAGTTTACTGTACCATATTTATAAGGTTAGTAGACCAACTGTCATATTGGCAACGTTTCCTGTTACACTCAACGTACCTGAACTGTTGAGGAGACTCTGGGCAGATCTTAGCTTCGTCTCCTCTCTGCCAATAGTTAACCGAAGTTGACAACATCAGGTGGAAGGTGCACTAAAACAGTGTTATTAGATTAGCTTGTCACGACACATCAGAGGTCTTTTACAGTGAGAATGAGTGTTACATGGATGAGATGAAATTTTTTCCCTACAGTTACCTAAACAATGTACATGTTCTCTCACTGATTTGAGAAAGCAAAGTGGCCAATTCGCTCATCAGTGAGACAATGTTAACATTGTCTGAGCGCGTAACATGTAGACAGCAAGGTCTAATGGGCACAAAATACGTAATGCCGCAACCCCTAGGTCTATAGCCTGAAGTAATGTGGAAAACAATCCCAGGCTCGAGCCTAGTGTCCTAGGACAAAAAAAAAATGGCTGTAAATCAGCTGGTCAGCTGTTGTACTGTTGTATCATTGTCATATTAAAAGTTCATTTCTGTGTAAAAATACGTTACGTTTCTTTACCAATTTAATTGTTTTATGGTATTTGTAGGAAAAATATAATGTGCAACTCGAGTGCAAAGTGCAATTGCCTCACTCGAGAAACCATTCCTCACTTGCCTACGGCTCGTGAGTAAGTATTTCTCTCGAGTGAGTCAATTGCTCACTTTGCTCACTAGTTGCACAAATAACTACTGACTAAGATCAGCTGGTTTGTTATACAGGACCATTTATTAACATCTAAATGATCAAGAACAGCTGATTGTATTCATTGGCTGATCCTTGTTTCAAACTGTGCTTCTAGCTTCTCAGGACCGTACTGGGGATCTTCTGATTAGAAATTGAGTTAGTGCTCAATGGGATCGTCAAACTACGGTCCGTAGCTTAAGGCAAAGATAAATTATGCACATAATGAACTAGATGATAGATTCATTCCTGAAAAAGTCTAGCAGATTCTTTGATGTCTCTTATTTAATAACTGGGTTAAGTCTTAATCGGTAACAATAAGACGCATAACACCACACTTCGTTTTACACTCACACTGTGTTCGTATTCGTGCTTACATGCATGTTTGTGCCATACTGTCTTGATGAATTAATTTATTGATGGATATTTAAAGTAATCAGTTATAAATTTATGAATATGGGGACGGCGCCTAGGTGTCTATTTTGACCCAAATGTGAGTGAAATATGAGTGTGAAATTGTGTGAAATTATATTTGTAGCTTTGTTACTGACTAAGATCAGGTTTTGTTTCAATTGCCAGGATCATTCATATAAAGCCCATTGATCAGGGATTGCTGCGGGTCCAGTTTCAAACCATTAAAAAGCTACATACTTTTCGCAGGATCGAACTGGCACAGGAGTTTGTATAACATATAGAAGAAGACAAAGTAAACAGGAAAGAAATTTTGGACTGTGTATGCAACTTTGGAAAATCTTTTGAAATCTTGTAACCAACATCAATTTTGCAGTACAAAACCATAATTTACACTTCTTCACTGTTAAACTTCCAACTGGAAGAGATCATTGCCTAATTATTGACTTAATTTTCAAAATACTAAAACACCTCTATTCTTCATTAGTTATAAGCTTTACCTTCTCAGATTGTGAAAGTGAATATGCCTCAAAAGCTCTCCGCTGAATTGGAATCAACCTTTCAAACAACAAGTCCTGCTTCAGAGCTTGAAAGCCACTTCTGCTGAAGGGAATGACATTTTTAATATTCACAACATTTGGACTCCTCTCTAATCCGTCAATGCTAAACCTGGAGTTGGAAAAAACTATTAATACACAACCTATAGTGTATATTATTGGATGGTTGTTATGCTAGCAGTACTCTTTCTCCTAGGGGCTCACCAAGGCTCTCTCCAAGGCGCTCACCAAGTAATTCGAGTGAGAGCTCGTCATAGATCGCAAGTTAGGTAACCATGTACACTCTCATAGTCGAAATGGAAGCCTTTTATGCGCTCGGAACTTGTACACTGTACAGTCTAGGGTCCTTTGAGGTTAAAAAACCGACTCCAGATGGAGCACAGACGAACCAAGTCAGGGTGAGATAAGCCAAGCACATCGAGTATACTCTTCAACTTCCACCCGCTCGCCTTGTCTTGGTGAGACTGTACTGAGGCCATTAGAAATCAACTTTTTTCATTAGATGTTGGCAGAGCATAGCTAAATATCAGCATAGGCACTGGTTCTTTAAAAAAATAACATAAACATCTAACATATTACCGATGAGCTTCCTTATGATTTTAATTACAAACTAGTTCTATAGCTTTTAAAATTGCTTAGAAATATGTTACATAATATCAATCAGATTAGTTCTGTATACAACACTAAGTTTTCCTAGGCGCGGAAGCAGAGTGCGGAGAGAGAAACTCCGTCTTTTAATAATTATGGAAATTCAATGTTACGGTTTTCCTAGAAGCAGAGCGGACCACCATGCTAATTGCTTTTTCGCTCTCCGCCCTCCGCGCTCCGCGCTCCTCTTCCGCGTCTAGAAAAGCGCATTTATTTTATCATAGGTGTACAGTGTACATATGTGAAAAATTCATGTTCACACAAACAAGTAAACAATTAACATGTCTGTTCTTCTAGTGAATCAACAAATTGAATTTACCACTTTGTTGCATAATAAGACCTTTCCACATTCTTTGTGTAAAATTTAAACGCAAAACATTTCTGATAATTGTTTTTCATCTTGATGTTTTTCACTCACCAGTTCAGGACATCTGATATTTGTTGATTTAAACTTGTCGGGGTGTAATAACCGGAACTTATTTTCCTCATAATTTCTATCATTGTTTCTAAATTCATTGGCAGAAGAAAAGGAGGAGGACTCTGATAACATTCCAACAAGTGTTGAGGGATTTGAGTCTTCTCTGAACTGTCAATATCTAAAAAATATATCTCTTTATTACGGAATAAATAAAGCTTTAGGACTATTTTCTACAATGATGCAGACGTATAATTGACATTGTATTCTACACATACAGTAGTATAACCATAGACCAACCAACACAAGGAAACTTCTCATCCCATCAAAAATTTCTAAGCTCGCTTTTTATGTGTAATTCATGTCCGATGAAACTGTTTGCTAGTGTTGACATTTTGTCTATAATATTTTTGGGGTAGTTTCAAAAAGGTTTTTGTGCTTATTTGAGTGAAAATTTAAAAACGTACGTTTTCACGTCCCTGGCCTTTTACTTCGTAGATACTGGATTTGTACTTTATTATTACGTGTTTTAATATTTTTTGGGACGGGGGCAACAATTCACACACATTTATTTGGTTTTAAATAGGTTCTATGTATATTTTTTGTATTTTTAAAGTCTCTAAATTCACGACCATGACGTGTCCCAAGGGTACATTTTCCAACTTTCACGCTGTTTTTAGACTAATTATTCATGCCAAAATATACAAATCCATATTTTTATGCTATCAATAGTTATTAAACTTACAAAAAAGGAGCATATTATAATTTTATTGTCATTGCAAACTGACTACCATGACAAAATAAGTCTGTCCCTCGATTTGGCGTCACGACCATTTGGGAAAAATTTTCAACTTTGGAGCACGACAGTGGCAAGCCTGGCGTCGATTGCGTCAGTTCGTTTTAGATACTAGTTCTGAGTGTACGTCAAGTTTTTTGTGCCAGTCGTTTTATGTTGAAAGAAGTAGTTACAAGATTAATAAAGGTAAGTTTGTATTTTTGGTGTGTCCATGACCGTACGTAGTCATTTGATGAAGTAGACGTGGTGTTAATTTTTATTGATATTTCAATTGATACATATTAACCTAAAAAGTTTTCAATTAGCAATAATCGCACCTCAGTTGAACTTCATTGGTTACGATATTGCCACTGCGCAAAGTTAAATAAAATAGTAATCTATTTGTTTTATTCTTTTTATTCCGTAAATTTAACTGTATTGTTGTTGTTCAAGTAGCTTATTATTATTTTCTCAGTGTCTATTGTATTATTTTGATTATTTGTTAGGTATATATATGTTGTGGTTGTTTTAAGTGTTATTGTAACTTTGCTGTGTTGCCAACCTGGCCGATGGCCCTTCCGGCCAATGCCTAAAGTGTTAATTTGGCAGATGCCCTGCGTGGTATCTGGAAATGTAAATAAAAGCAGCAATAAAGCACTTTTTCATTTCATTTCATTTCATTTCATATTAACCTAGAAGTCCACTTTGTATCCTGGAACATGAGGTGCAGAGCTACCGCCAGAACAGAGCCAAATAACACGTAATGTCATGACCAAAGTTTCACGACCACCGCGGATATTTTCACGACCAATTCAGCCTTATGGATTATACTGTGTTTGGTCGTGACAATAACTTAAATATCATTCTAAATTGAACAGTTTAGTTCAATTGAAACACATAATTTTATTATAACTAACAATATAATTGAAGGATTGTTTAGAAATATTTAGATTATTCCAGACAATTCACGACCGTACTGCTTGTCCCTGACCATCTTTAGTTTAAGATTTCTATCATAAAAATTTCAAAAATTAAAATATTATCATATTTCAATGTTTTATACACAAAAGAAGCACACCCCTATAAACCCATTACGATTTTTCGGGTCTCAGGTAAGTTTTTTCGGAGTTATACAAACTTAAAAAGATTTAATTGGTTTTTTTTCAATTTTATGAGTTTTTTATTTTTTTCTAGAAAGACCAAATATACCAAAAGCTTAGTGAGCTGTTTATTGTATAATGGCCATAAAAGTAAATTAATTTATAGCAAAACATAGTTATAAGAATAATATTAACTATTTTTAATATTCAGTCTTATGTCCGTGATGGTTGTGACAAAATTTTGTGTCTTTCCATCAAACATGCTCTATTAATAAAAAATCACCAAAGACATTGCGTTACCATGGACATTTTATGAAACTTCAAATGTCAATGAAATAAAAAAATAAAAAAGTTTCAAAAAACGGAACAAAAAGTTTTTAAAGTGCTTTTCCTTAAAACGTACGTTTTTAAATTTTCGCTCATTTACTGTTTGGTTAAATGAGGTTTTATATGACTAAAATAACAAGAAACAAATTGAAAGCAAAACACAACCTCTACACTCTACAGTGCACTGGACAGAAAGTGCGTTAAATTGGTTTTGGATAAGTATTTTAAAATATCCTTCCTCACTTATCGTGGTAAAAACGCCATGCGTACACAATCAATGTTCACTAATAACTAGATCCAGAACTTCCCTGTCTTCTATCTCTTTGATCAACAGAATCTTCAATACTTCGCTCTTCACACTCCTAATGAAATCACTAAACTACAGTTTAACACAGTCAGCAACCAACTGTTGAACTAAATTATACATGTTCTTGGACATCGGGCCTTAAAGCGATTGACGCCCATCGATCATCTCTCTGCGACGGACGCAACCGACGCGCCTTGGACAAGACAATACAAAAAAGTAAGAGACAAAAATTTGTTCATTTTGATTATTACAAAGAGATTGGACATAACTTGGTTATTATAACTGTACTCTGCATAGCCCAGTGGTTACAGAGCTCACCTTAAAACCTGAGTTTCTGGACCCAGATTTCACTTGTAATTTGTCTATCAAATTAATGATGCAATCTAACTAAAGATCAACATTAGATTGTAACAATAGCAGGGTTTGGACTGTTCAATTACAAAAATGTAAAAACTAGTTCAATGGGGTGGATTCAAATTAAATATGTAGGTTTATTAAAAAAAATGGCTTCATATTGTAGCAAAAAAATACCCAAATTGTTGTAAGAAATCACCGAAACAATCAGTTGATTGAGCACTAAAATACTCTACAAGACTCAAAATGTATGAACAAAATAATAGTTAAATAATATAAAATCAAATATCTTAACGATAAAAAAAAAACTTCTTATTAATATTGTAAATATAAACGATATATGTACTATAAATGTGAAATCTATCACTTACCAATGGTCCACATTCCTAAAATAAGTATTGTAGTAAAGGTGTAACCCATGCTGACTGCAAACACACCTTCACTACTCATAGTTCATTGAGATAAGCTGAGATAAAAGATAAATGACTCACCTACACACTAACATCCACTACTCCACTACACTCACCTACACACTAACATCCACTACTCCACTACACTCACCTACACACTAACATCCACTACTCCACTACACTCACCTACACACTAACATCCACTACTCCACTACACTCACCTACACACTAACATCCACTACTCCACTACACTCACCTACACACTAACATCCACTACTCCACTACACGCAACTTGCTGGCTCCATGTAACAACTCTAGGGTTTGGATGGTTTCCATACAAAAATTTACAATTTTACTGTCTTAGCATGTATTCTAAAAAATAAAATACACCCGAGTATGGTTACAAAAGCTAATAAAATTGATTTTTCCTTTTTTTGTGTTTTTGAAGATTGGCAAAAACGGAATTTGTAAACAAAGGATTTCTAGAGGTATTAAGTTTAAAAAATAATAATCGGTTTGAAACAATCAATACAAAATGTATTAACATTAACATGAAAAGTAAGTTAGTTTTACAATTAAATAGTTTTCAAATTTTAAATGGTGAGCTTTATGTTGTAGTTTATCAATGCCCAAGATTGGTATAAAAAGTTGTTTAGTGATAATTCATACTGAAATTGTAGATTTTAGGGGTAACTTTATGTAGCAACAGAACCATTTATATACTTGAAGGTAATACTGTTTTTTATTAAAATGTTAATATTTCAGTAAAAAAAATAAAATTTGCTAAATTTGATGAGACTCTATACTTCTAAACAAGCAAACTACAACAGGTTAATTAATCCGAAAGATTAGGAAATGTATAGGGATTTCTTTACTTTCTTTGAAACCATCTGTTGTAGAACCAAGGTTCAAGATACAAAATTGTTTGTTATTCAAGCTCTACAAAATGGTTTGGAAGAAATAAATTACGGTAAGCTACAACATTTTTAGATTTTGAGTATTGCAATGTGTTTGGCATCTGAGAAAACCCCAATGCAGATTTTTAAACCAATATTTTAGAAGAAATTACGGTAAGCTACAAAATTTTATGTTTTGATCTTGAAAAAAGGGAACACTCCATTTTTACGCCATGAAACTCCCTGCGAGACCCCGTTCTCATAGTCTGAACATGCTGGTTTGCAAGCTTGTTTGAATAAAATCAAAATTGGGTGTTTTTTTTACCAGAAAACGTATTGGAGTGAAAATTTAAAAACGTACGTTTTCAGGAAAAACACTTTGCAAATTTGTTTCCCCTTTTTTCAAAACTTTTATTATTTTTTTGATTTTATTGACATTTGAAGTTTCATAAAATGTCCATGGTAACGCAATATCTTTGGTAGTTTTTTTTTTTAAAGAGCATCTTTAGTGGAAAAACACAAAATCCTGTCACGACCATAACAGACGTTTAAATGAATATTAAAAATAGTTAATATTATTTTTATAACTATGTTTTGCTATAAACTAATTTACTTTTATGACCATTATACATTAAAAAGGTCACTGAGCTTTTAGTATATTTGGTCTTTCTAGAAAAAAATAAAAAACTCAAAAAATTGAAAAAAAGCCAATAAAATCTTTTTAAGTTTGTATAACTCCGAAAAAACTTACCTGAGACCCGAAAAATCTTTATGTTTGCATAGAGGCGTGCTTCTTTTGTGTATAAAACATTGAAATATGACGATATTTTAATTTTTGAAATTTTTATGATAGAAATCATAAACGTGATGGTCAGGGACAAGCGGTACGGTCGTGAGTTTTCTAAAAAAATCTAAATCTTTCTAAACAATCCTTTAATTATACTGTTAGTTATAATAAAAATATGTGTTTCAATTGAACTAAACTGTTCAAATTACAATTATATTAAAGTTATTGTCACGACCAAACACACTATAATCCATAAGGCTGGATAGGTCGTGAAAAAACCCGCGATGGTCGTGAAACTTTGGTCGTGAAATTACGTGTTATTTGGCTCTGTTCTGGCGGTAGCTCTGCACCTCATGTTCGAGGATACAAAGTGGACTTCTAGGTTAATCTAGCAACTGAAATATCTTATAAACAAAAATTAACACCATGTCTACTTCATCGAATGACTATGTACGGTCATGGACACACCAAAATTACAAAAAACACAACCTTACCTGTATTAATCTTGTAATTCCTCCTTTCAACTCAAAACGACCGGCACTACAATCCTGACGTACACCCCGAACTAGTCTCTAAAACCAACTGACTCCATCAACGCCAGGCTTGCCACTGTCGTGCTTCAAAGTTGAAAATTTTTCCCAAATGGTCGTGACGCCAAATCGAGGGACAGACTTATTATGTCATGGTAGTCAGTTTGCAATGACAATAAAATTATAATATGCTCCTCTTTTGTAAGTTTAATAACCATTGATGACATAAAAATATGGCTTTATACATTTTGGCATGAATAATTAGTCTAAAAACAGCGTGAAAGTTGGAAAATGTACCCTAGGGACACGTCATGGTCGTGAATTTCGAGACTTTAAAAATACGAAAAAAATACCTAGAACCTATTTAAAACCAAATAAATGTGTGTAACATGTTGCCCCCATCCCAAAAAATATTAAAACACATAATAATAAACTACAAATCCAGTAGCTACGAAGTAAAAGGCCAGGGACATGAAAACGTACGTTTTTAAATTTTCACTCATTGAACGGATTTTTTTGGCCTCTGGGGACATCGAAACAGGAAAAAATAGGTTCCCCTTGTAGGTCTAACCATGAGACTTATTCCGTAAATTTGCTAAATGTAAAATTTATATTCTTTTGATATTTTGGAAACGTTTGAGACTGGGCCAACATTTTATGACCATCTTCACCCTAAGATGCTAGATTCTAGTCTGAATCTGTTTTACACATCAATTCAGGCTAAAAATTCAGGCTTGGGGGTTGCGGCATTATCACATAGATAAAACCGTTTGGTGATTGATAGGATTTGAACAGGCGTTCTGAAGCCCTGCTCTCTACCACGAGACTAGCTTGCTCCCCCCGCCAATGGTATTAGCATAGATTAAACATACTCGAGTATTCTTATTAATCTATGGTAGCTATGTTAGGGCTTGGTAGTTCAGCCCACCTTAAGCTAGATCATCTGTTAAAGAGCATCGTCTCAGAGCATTTTTTGGCCGGCGTTTCAGGTCAACATCCTATGACGCCAACAGTCCACTCGCTAGGATTCTTCGCCTGGGAAACACGGTGTCAAGCGCAGTGGACGTTTTCTTCGACGGCTTCAAACTAGCTCGAAGAAAGTTCCTCACTGTCCTTGGCAAGCGACGAAATGAAATTCCTTAATCGAACTTATGTCTATGCTTTCACCATCAATCTTTTTTGTTGTTATTCAGCTTGCGCTATTTTTCAACTTTTTGTCATCATTATATTCATTTACATATTTATTGTAACGGGTTTTGTATTTATTTATATTGTTATTATTAATATTGTTATTTATTTATATTGTTATTTATTTATATTGTTATTTATTTATATTGTTATTTATTTATATTGTATTTATTTATATTGTATTAATTCTATCGTTATTATTGTTGATTTTTTCTATTGTTCTATCGATTGTCACATAGTTTTTGTGTAAGTTGGAAACTGTTTGTTGCTTTTTCTCTTCAAATGGCTCTGCCGTTGGTATGTATAATAATATTAATAATAATAATAATAATAATAATAATAATAAAGAAGGACTGGGTTATAATGAGAGAGGGAATCTCTCTTTATCGCTTGGAAAAGTTCCACCATAAAAAGCTGTAAGATGATTTTCAAAAATAGATCAATTATTTACTAACACGATATCCAAGGGTTCAAAGTGCAATTGGAATTTCTGGCTCGGTGTCTGTGGATGTGCTAAAATTCGAGCGTAATGCTTTCCAAGTGGTTTGTATCTTGGACTTCAGTGCGAGAGGGACAAGTTCGATCCCCAGCATATCTAAAGAAATTGAGGGGCTATAACTGATTTTCCTTTAAAAAAAATTAAAAGCGTAATCACTAAAAAATACTAGGTTTCAAGGTGTTTGAATATGAATTAGATGAAACACCCAGGTAATTATCATTAAGTAAGCTAAAAATATGGGACAGGTTTTAATCCCATTAATTCCATTCAAAATCAGAACATCAATTGAATGACAATATCTAGAGTAAACAAGTTAGGAAACATTGATTTTCCAGTCAGTGATGTTTGTACTTTGTTGAACCATGGATGAACAAGACTCTGTGCATCAACACTTCCGTTTTATTCGAAATATTTTGACTTGGTTAGATTTGTTTGTCTATAAAGAAGAACTCTCCCAATCTCGAAACAGCTACCATACTTACTATTTTTCCAAACTGCTTTTCATAAAGTCTTGTGTACTTTTTTATGGATTTTTCATCATCACCTTCCATTCATACATGTTTTCCTTAACCGTCACTCCCACAGCGTTGTTTGCAATTGATTTTGTCTACAGCTTATTTAGCTTTTTCTTTGTGTATTTTGAACGCCAACGGTTTTTGGATCTTCTTTTTGAAATAGATGTTTTTGATAAGGTGAAATTGATATGCAAACATCAGAGACAACCAACACATAACAAAAAATATGGGAAAATATCAGGATTGGTATTTTTATCAGTCTTCTTTTTTCTGACAATTGTTGTAGTTTTGTTGACTGTTTATTCCTTTAAACAAACATTTTGGATCTTTACTAATCTGCAACTGATGAGAACCATCACTGCTTGTCAAATACTTCTGTCAAACGTTTTAAGTTTTCGGTTCAGTGTTTTAATTATATTTTTCTCATATGAAATCGCAATCAGATATAGGAATCTCAATACCAAGATTGTGCTCGCAATCCACGATGCATTGGATGGACAAAAGGAAGCAGTTTTGGATCGATACAGATTACTCTACTTTCAATTGTCTAGGATCCAAAATAAATTTAACAAATATTTTGGAATCGCAACAACGATTTTCTTTTGTCATGCATATTTGAGGATCATTTGTCTATTTATGCAAATACTGAGTCAGGTTTTCCTTCTGTATTCAATAGTTTTTATTCTCAAGAATTTCATTGAGATCTACGTGGTAGTGAAATTTGCAGAGCTTATAAAAAAGGAGGTAAGTAATCCTGTTTAGTAAAATGGTAGCACAACAGTTATAAAAGATGTATTAATTTAGAAAATGATATGATGCAGATAAAAATATGATAATGTAGAATCATTGCTGACTGCAGTAGATAATGGTAGAATGTAGACAAAAAATACCCCTGTTGCAGCAAACCTGCAGACTAACCGAATTTCCATTTGCCCGATTGGATTTTCAATTAAATCTATTTAAATAACATTATGTTTAACAAGTACCTAGGTTTGCTGCTAAAGGGAAGGTAATAAAGTGGTTTTTTTAGTAGAATATCAATAGCTTAGAGTAAAATAAGTTAATTTGCCAAGTTTGATCAAAATATATCCGTAAACAAGAAAACTATAACAGTTTACTTATTTTCCATAAGGATAGCATGGTAATTTTAAATTTAAGATTTTTTGAATTTTTTCGGTGACTAACTGTAAAAAACCCCTTTATACTAAATTATTAGTTTTTTAAGCTCTAAAAAATGGTACTCAGAGAAATTAGGAATGTTTTTGTTTTGAATGTCAAAAATGAGAAAAACCAATATTTACTTTCCTATAGGGAAATTCGCTTAAAGACAAAACATTTTATAGGGTGTGTGGACAGTGGTGTGGACAGCGATATACAACCAACAAACTGAATAGGATGATTTTAGGGATGAAAGGAAAAGTGTTTACACTTTTCAATGTTTCACTTGTGATAAGAGTAAAATCAAACTTCACCTTTGGGAATTAGAAATCTCACTTTGCAATATCATTCTCGCTTTTTGTACATCCAATATTACAAACACTAAACACATTTACCTATATAAGCTTATAACAATAAATTTTGTAATTTCAGAACAGTGGGATGACAGATGTCTTTTGCAGTATTATTCTTCAACAAATGTCTCCAAGATTCCAAAAGCAGGTACTGATAATGGACATATGTGTGCAGTAACTCTTAATCTAACATGGGTATAAAATCAGTAGAGTAGTAGAGCAGAATATGTTTTTTTTTATTTGTTGTAAATCAATTATTCTTTATTAATTTACTGTGTAGATACATAAAAATGAATTAATTGCAAAAATTTAACAACTGTTATCACCAAAAAATGGATACACCTATGGTAGCAAACCTTAAGACTATATGCAAATTTATATTTGGCTTTTTTTTAGTTTTCATTTAAGTAAGTTAGAGAAAGGATAGCATAGCTAGAACAATTACATGCTTATTGATAAGTTATGACCATTTTACCTTTTTGCATCGAACACTTACAAATCTAAAGACTTAGAAAATATGTATAGCATTCTCAAACTTCAAATTTGCCAAGGGCATCATTATCATAGAATGTGTGACAAATCTGCAAAAGCCCACTGTCACTTTAATTTGAGGGTAAATGTAGAAGCTAATTAGATCCGTTCACATAGGTACACAATCACAAAGATTACACTTCAAGAATTGCAACTAATCTACTATGTGACATTCAGGTACATCTATTTACTCTACAACTTCATCTGTCAGAGCAAGACATATTCCCGGAACATCTGTTCAAAGTGAATAAACAGACCATTGTTTCTGTAAGTACTTACATTTTTGTAACCAATTTATTTTTACTAGTGTACCTCTTGCTCGAAATCAAGCAATTGTTAACTGTTTATACCTACAGTTCAATATAATCAACATTTCTCGTAAATATTTTATAATTTTTCAGAAGCTAACCTTGTACTCAGTGAGTTTCCTCATTAGTCTTATGGTCCACTGGCTTTATTGTGAGGGGTTGTTCCTGGAACTGAGAGAGGTGTAGACCCTCCCTGCCAGTCTCTGCTCAGTGTCAATGTCTTAGTTACTGTGTGACTGTGTGTGCCCAGTCCTGAGGAGCCCTCTCTCTTAACCCTGCATTTGCCCGTCCACATAGACCTCTAGCCTCAGTGTGAAAATCATCTACCTATCTAGTATAGCAAGGGATGAACATATACAGTTCAAGAACTAATGTATTGATAAAAATTAGTAGCGGCAATTGGGGACGCAAATTATCAATATTAGTCTTTTGATCAGGCAATATCAGTAAAAGAAAACTTAGTAAATCTTTCTGAGCAATAAATATAAATTATTTAAGTTAAACAGCAGTTTTACCTTTTGCTACATTAGATACTTTGTCTTTTAAACTATTTTGGGGCAGCCCTAATAAAAAAAATTAACTGACGTTAAGTTAAACATTAATTGTAATAGGTATGATAAAGGAGAAGAACAACGGAACTTCGAGGTCTCTATCACACCCAATCCAAGATGACAACCATTTGAAATTTTAGTAAAATCATGGCTATATAATTATGTAGGCAAAGTATATACCTATTTCTTTTATGAATTGGTTTAATCTGGATCTACGAGGAGGCAGTAAGTAAGGGAATGTATTTATCTATAACAAATTTTTGAACATTAAAATTTGTTTACAATTGGTGAATGCTTATGAAAATTGTTCTTTTTACACCTTTTCCAATTTTACAGATACACGATTTAAAAATTAAAGAAATATGTACTGAGGGCATTTCAATGTATCTAATGGGAATTGGCAGTTTATAAAATATGTTTACTGGACATGTTCTTTTCAGTCCATTTTCAGCCATTTTCAGTCATGGATAGGAAACTGGTTACAATACTCTTAAATACAATAACTTAAATTATCCAGTAGTTATATTAAAAAAATTATACAAAAAGATAAAACGGAATTACTATGTTTAACACACAATACAGAATAAAAAAACACCTTTTTTGTAATACAGATTAGCTGAGAGTTATTCAGTCAAATATGATAAAAAGCCTATTAGATAACCTTTGCTCTGCCTTGCAAAAAAAATCCTTTTAAATCGATAAAATGTACACTTTTCCAGATGTCAACATCAGTGGCAGCGTATTGCACTGTTCTGTTGAGTCTCGTTCCTACACACCGAGAAGAAATTTATCAACTAATCATCAAGAATATTTTTGATAAAATGTTTTAGAAAATAATTTAGATGTTCATTGTTATGGAATGAAAATGGTGTATCACATGTATTGGAAAAATGTAATGGTGAAGAAAAATACAGCAATTTGTGAGACGTTTTGTGGTTTTAACTTTTTGTTAAATAAATATCTGTATTTGTACAGAGGTCAAAGTGACTTTTCTACTTTCACTTGTAATGGACAGCCTTTGTGCTTTTTAAAATCTTGCTATGGCATTCACTCGCTGGTACGTATAGTAGACTTATCTTTGTAAGTCAATAATAATGTCTATAATTTCCTTATTAACACCTTAGTAAAATTTTGTTTTAATCAGCCCCTAACCTACCTGAAAAACTACTTATCTTAATCAAATATATTTCATAACCAAGTATTGTTTTGGTCATGTTTTAAAAATGGGTAACAACAAACACCTTTAAAACCTTTAGCTAAAGGAAAACTTTAATTTAAATTTAACAAAGATCTTAGAGCAAATAAATACAACCAGCTATGTGTTCTAATTTAAGGATAAAGGTGTCCGTTGAAGACGAAGATAAAAGCAGTTCTTTATCATGAAAGGCCAGAAAGGCCTGTGCTATTGAAGGTGTTGAAATGAAATGAAATGAAAAATTATTGACTTAGTTTTTGAAAATTAAGATCATTCTAGAATAAGATTCACTCACTGTATTCTAGAAAAAAATCATTAATTCATTTTATTATTGATTCTAACAATCACACAAAGCAAGTTCTTCTGCAGCACTTTTACAAAAATTTTGATTTCTACATAACTTAAGTTACTGATTACAACCATATAAAACAAAATAATCGCCTTACAATCCATGCAAATGTGGCAAACAAAATTGTCTAAAGCAAAATAAATTTCAAACTAAGTTACGTTGTTCTGAGTGAAAATGACTATTGAGTTTTATGCGACAACAGATTGGGAATTTGATGCACTTTGGTTCCCAGAGTCAGGCTGATGTCTGCGATAAAGATAACCTCCTGCCAAGGCCAAAACTCCTGCAAAAATAATAATTTTTTTGTGGAAATGCTGACTCAAAACTGGTATTCTATTTACACTTACTCTGCTGACTAAAAATAAACTCGTTAAATTCTTCCCATCCCAGTAACTAATTAATAAGCAGTAACACCCTAAAACTTAATTCCAAATGTTGTTGAGCCCTCATTTCCTTATTTTCTATATCAAATAGGTTTAATCAACATTTACAAATGTACTGGAAAACATGGATGAACCATGCAGCATATGCAGAATCGAGCAAAAGTATTAGTTCAAAAGAGCTTTGCATTAAAAGTTGTATCAAAAAGAGTGAATCGGGTTTGTTGCTGGAGAGATTATAATGAGAAAAATATTTACTTACCAAGAAGAAGCAAAAGAAATACTGTTGTACATATCAAAGCTGTTGCCAATAAACTTGTATTATTGTTGTGGTCATCATCTGAAAATGAAATAAATTGTTTTGTGATAACAACGACAACATAAACCCACATGAGCCTAGGTTTTTAGGATTTTTAGTGAGGATAGCAGCCTTACTGTACCTCTGAATGAAAAAGAGTTCAAACTGGTACAAGAAACACACAACTTTACATTATACACAGAGCATTCAAATATTTCACCCTCTCGAACAGCATTTTCATCTAAGGAAGGTATGAGTTGAAGAGAGTTTTTCAAGTCTGTGAAATATTAAAACTACGCTGTTGCTTTGTGTCAAGTTTGGTCTTTCTTATGCCTATTTGGACTTTTTCTCATTCAGGTGTGTTTGTTAGTAGTTTAAATAGTAAGTTTTAATGATTAATTTAAACCTATGTTGTAATATTAAAACACCCTAAAGTCCATGTGACACCGACATACGCCACTCCTGCCGCGGGAGTACCACGCGCAGATGTTTTTCTTTGAGCCATGTCACACCAAAAGTTTGCGTCTGCAGCGGAAGTTTTGAGATTATTTCATTACAATTTATTTTACATAAGAAACACATCTTACCTGTTTGGTATGACATGTAAGTTTTCTGGTTTTTAAAGTAGTAAAGTGTTTAAGAAGCATTGAATGGGTTTATTTATTTGTTAGCGTATATAAAAAGTGATCTGTAATTATTTAAAAAATTTAATTTGGACCTTATGTTGGAAGTTCAACCATTTTAAATATGGATAAGGATAAATTATCCACTTTCAGGGTTTTGAGCGTTATTTTTTGCTACACTACAAAGACTATTTACTTTTTAAATAAAAACATACGACTATTTTAAAACTAGCCTAATGTAATTTTTTTGCTAAACCTTATATTAAAAGTTCAAGTTTACATTGATTGTACAGTTTTGGTTGTTGCAAGTTGAAACAGTTGATGAAACAATACAAAATTGTTTGTTAACGTCGACAATATAACACATTTGATAGGAAACAATAATTTTTTACTGAAAACATTATTTTTGTATGGTAAAAAAAAATTATTTTTTCTGGTGATTAACGTATACTACGAAAATAATACAAAACAACATACATCATCAAACAAAATAAATTTTCTTTCAAACTGTATTAATCTGTATTACTTTTAAACTTTATAGCTTGGCCATTCGAGATGCCCCTTTGCGCATGCGCCAGACAAAACTCCCACCACAGTAGTCAAACAAAATCGCTGAGTACCTACGCCTGCGGGGGCGTGGTAGTGCGGTGTGACTTGGCACATTTGATAACATGGTTAGCGATTTTTCAAAATTCGCTCCCGCTGCGGAAGGGAGCTCAGTGTGACTTGCCCTTAAACAGTCTTGAGGTGTTCATTATTTTTCATTAACATTTTCAAAACGGGAAGCCACCTAGCAAGGAAGACTAATTTTGGAATATTTGTCAAGAGGGAGTCATCAATCTGGGGAGCTAAGCTATAACATTAGATTAAGCAATAATACTTGGTCTAATGTAAAAAAATACACACACCAGAATGCATATTTTAAGGCAAAGATATAAAATGGCTGACTAAGATCAGCTGTTTTTAAGCCCGGACCATTGAAGCTAAATATTAGATTCAACTAGGTCCCACTTATAGATTGCAGGGTGTTCATCAAACGCCTAGAACAGCCTTTGACATCAACCAATTGTGATGTGTAAAACCACAAACTTCTACCAAGCTCCTTTTAGGACTTTTAAAGGAAGTTTTACTCATGTTGTAGCTTTAAATTAAAGCACATCTATTAATTTATTTACGAGTGAATAGGCCTACCTCTAAAAATGCATTGTAAAAGTTATTTTAAAAAGAGGATGAGGTATCAACAACATTTTAACGTTTTTAACGAATAATCCCAAAATGTAGGTACTAAAATAACTTTGATAAGAAGTCGATTAACTTAAAGTATACATACTCATTTGATAATATGATATAGATTACTATAAATAAGATAGTCAATAATCACCAAAGGGGGCAAAAAGGAGCCCCAATCCAGAAAATGAAATTAGTAAAAACTAATAATTAGTATAGAAATTGACAGAAAATTATCTTACTAACAAATAATCATCACATGTGCCATTTAATTTATGATGATAACCTTTATGGCAATGACAAAAATTACAGTATATTGTATGATTATGAATGATAATTTAATACAGCATTCACCCTACTTTAAATCCTTTTAGAACTTAAGTTTTCTAAAGAATATAAAACCTGAATTTTGGCCACAGAATTGATCACCTATATGTATTTTATAACTTGGCTATTTCCATATAAAAATATATTCTAAACGCATCATTGACTTTACCTTTTAAGTGTTCATTGAATTCATCGTGGTCCTCAACAGGAAAAACTTCACCATAGAATTGTGAATCCTAAAAAAAATATTAAAACTTTGATTGTCCGATATAATTATTGGCATAATGTCTAACTTAAAGGGTTCAAAACAGAAATTCTAAAAGGTCAACTGACTGGCCACTCCCATTTTCATGAGGAAATTTTATTGAATAACTTAAATTCTTTTATTATTGTTCACTAAAATACTGTTAGGCTGTGCATGAAAATTTAATTATCAACAAAGAAGGAAGATGATGAAATTTTCTGAAAAATATAATCAGGATATAATATTGGCAGTTTTTTTACTTTAGTGTTGAGGGGTGACAATGATAGTAGATGCAGGACAATAAATGTATGTTTTAATATTTATAAAATCTCTATGAAAACCCAAAGCTAGATTTTTATCCTACAACTTTTTTATATAAATTATCCTCATCATCATTCCATAAAAATAGGAATAAGTTCAACAACCATTTGAACAGTTTGTTACACATCTCATCTACAAAATGCTTAGTTTTATCTTTTACTATAGGCTATAGAAGAATTTATGGCAACATACCTTCTTATTCTCCACTTCATCATTTAACAGCAGGCTTCCATCTCTGTAGTGAAACGGTTGCACACCTGCATCAATAGATTTTGGTTTTTCAGCTTGATTTGTCAGTAATTCCATTTTGTTTGGACCAGATCCATCTGACAGGACTTTAAAATTGTCACTTTTTACTATTTTAGTCAGATTTTCATTATTTTCTTTTCCCTTAGTTGAGTTTACTTCTGTATCATCATTGCTGAGATTCGTGAAAATGTTTTGAGGATAAGTCAAGTTCTGAGAGAGTGTTTCGTTGATGCTCATGAGGTTTGATTTGTTTGCAAAACTTAATGAAATCAGTGTGTTTAAACTATTTTTTCCACCTGTAAAGTGAGAACTGTCTGAGTTACTATCGTTAATGTTGTTTTCAACGCTTGAAGTATTTGTATCAGCATTTTTAAGCTCTAATGTATGGTTCGCATTCAGATCTTCATTATTTATCTTCAACATGCTCTCAGGATCAGCATCTCTCTTACTCAGGTTGTGTGAAGGTGACAAGTCATAATCAAAGAATGGTGATTCAGTTACTTGCTGCAGATCTTCCACAGCAAATAGAGCTGACATGATATGCTCTATCAGATTTGAAATCGCTCTTAGGAAGAAATATCTGGTCATCTCACTTTCTACAAACTGCGGATCCATCACATCTTCAAACTTTGGTGTAGTGAACTGCTTGATTGACGTTGCAACTGAGGTGTTTTCATCTGCTTTGAATTGTATTTCACCAATGGGATGATGGGGTACAAAATTAATTGTATGGTTTTCAAGAGGAAGTTTGGTAAAGTTTGAGGATGAATCAAATTTCCCCTCAACATTGTTTGCTTTCTCACTAGATGGAGATATAGTCAACGATGATTTATTATCGGAAAAGTTATAACCAAAGTCTGTTTCAACCTCATGAAAAAGGTATACTCTTGATTTGTCAAGATGAAGCGCCAACACATCGTGGTGGATGAACATGACAAACAGATTCAACCCTGAAATTGAAAGAACATAGTATTTACAAAATAATACGATTAGCTTGAAAATATTGGCCAATTCAAATTGTTCAAGTACGTGATGATCAAAGACAAACTTTATGTTTAGTAATAGCATTGACTACCGTAAATAGCTAAAGGGGCATACTGTTAGCAACCTATACCTGTTGACTATTACTGCTATTAGCAACCTAAGAAATACCTGTACTTGTAACGGTTTAAAATGTTTTCTTGCCCAGATGACTTTACTGGGCAGGTTCCCTGTTGGCAGGTTCTGGGTAATGATAATAAAAAAAAAATTAGAGTAAAAAAAATATTTGCTATCATAAAGATTACTTGTGAGCCATATGTGGGTTTTTGTACCAAAATCTCTCCCTCTCTCTCTCTTTCTCTCCAGAAGTGGCTTTAAATAGTATAATAAATGAGAATACGGAGATATGTAAGTAGGGTGTAGGCACATGCACCAGGCTTAATCCTCTTAATCACAGTCGGTTGACCGTAGGTTGGTGTCGAACGCTTCCGCATCATACCGTGCATAGCCGAACTGTTAGCTTCAAATTGTTAGCTCTATTACTGTCGCTGTCAAAACGTATCGTTTGTCGGTTAAATTTAAATTTAATTTGACTGTCATAACCTAACCAAACTAACCAAACTTGTTGATAATAAAAAATCGAATGAAGGTTTAATAAAAAAAATAGTTCTGTTCATAAAATAAAACTACAAATGGCTAAAATTCATTTTTATAATTTTTAAATTATTGTAAAATTAACCCTCCCAGTGTTACTTGACGAAAATTCGACAAGCAGCACACTTTGTGTAGTGTTACTTGTCGATTTTTCGACACGCAGACATCGTTTACGGCGAAGGCTCTATGACTGACTGAATCGGATTGAACTGGATCGAGTTAGGTATCGTTCTTTCCGTAATATTCTAAGCTTTCTCCAGAGGTCTGTCTCTTATTCATTTTAGTTCCGAAAATATTGTAGCAGACAGCTGACGTGCGTGTATTTGTAAACAGCTAGGTTCCCCCGGACCGATGACTGATGTGTTTTATTACGTTTATCATTGTTTTAGTGTTAAAAATCAAAAGTAGTGATATACGTGGTGCATTATAAGAAGATTTAAGTGGTTTTGAAGTGCTGGTTGATGATCCTGAAGAAGTAGGTAGTGATATTGATGTAAATTATCAGCCAGATTCCTAGCTATGGTTAGGCTATGCATTCTTAGCTAAACGCTATGTACTGAAATCAGTTTTTTGCCCATAACTTATTTATTTGCAAATATACTTCCTTATATTATTATATATTTGTAATCCTCATAAAATTTAGAACAAAGTGGCTATTTTCAAATATTTATAGGCCTATAATTTATACAATTTCATTGAGCGCGAACTTATTTTTTTTTTGAAAATTTTCAAAATTATATTTTTTTTTACCTAAAATTTTTTTTTTTTTTAAAATGTTCCTTATGTTTTATATATAATATTGAAGCCCATGATTTTCCAAACAAAATGGTATATAGAACATTAGAATTAACATGGTTTTAAGCTTCTCAGATCCGTTTTAATAAAACCTTGCAAATGCGCCAAAAATAGGTGGACATTAAGGCCTAAACTATGGACACTTGGAGGGTTAAACTGTCATAACCTAACCAAACCAACCAAACTTGCTGATAATGAAAAAATCGTACAAAGGTTTACTAATAGAAAAATATTTCTGATCATAAAATTATAAACGATTTAAATTCTAACAAAAGATGTACCTACAGTTAAGAAGTAATCGCATTCTAAGCGAAATCTTTGACAAAAATTTAACGCCTCCGGTAGGATTCAGAATTCTCGATTCCCCACCCCTCCTCCGGTGACCACTACCCTCAGGCCACAAATCAGGGGATTAACCCAAACAAAGATCTGGGACGCTGTCCGTCTCCCATGTAAGTAAATTTGTACTTAAGCAAACTTGGAAATAGTAAGTCATGACAGTTATTTTTTATTTACTAATTAACACATCTTACATGATATGTTTTAATTATCTAAGATTATTAAGGTACATTCACAAAAATAAAGTTGGTTGATATTATTTGAGATGGATCTGAATGATTCGCCTATTTTAATCTTAAAGGTTTTGTTGACCAGAGGTAAAATGATTTCTAGCAATGATAATGACTTTGTGATTTCTAGCTTACATACATTTGATAGCTAATTTTGTAATTGAAGTAAATATTTAACTTACACAAAATTGTTGATTGCAGAATTTTATTTTGCACACTCATATCAAAAGATTTTTAATTCACAAAATAGTATGAGCTCTTCTAATTTCTAAACAATATTATTAATGGTGCTGGAAACATGTGTTAACATATATTTGATGAAAGCAACAATTGAACTTCACAAACCAACTAATCACAATATTGTGTATGTGTGTAACACTAAATCTGGACTATATAAAATGTACCGTGACAAAAAATATATTATACCTGAAATTGAGATAATATAGCCTATCTATTGCCAGTTTCTCTCTTAATCGGTGTCAGTTCTCCATATTAGAGATACTGTACCGCATTTGGTTTGTTTTTAATCTTTGGGACAAATAATATTTAAACAAAATAATTCCGTTTCCAATTCAAGATGATAAAAAACCTACTAAAATAGTCTTAAGCACTTCTCCTTTGATCTAGTAGGACTAGACATTTTCAATCTTGCATGTTAAAGTTGGGAAAAATTGATTAGATGAATTAAAGCCTCCACAGCAGTGAGAGTGGGATGATAATTTAACTGATTTCCGTTGAATTAGAATACTCAATATCTTCAACCAAGCCAAACTAAGGATAAATATTAGGCTACTATTTTGTATACTGTATTAATGTAGCATCTTTAATCTCTTACAAAGACTATCACAACAACAAAAACTAATGGAGAAATTGTTTAGATCTTGGCACATTTCTGCATGTAAGTGGCACATTATTGAACTATATAATTTGTTTTTGTTGGATAAAAAATGGGCTTACTATACTTACTATAGGCCTACTTACTTACTACTACATTCTTACTATACTTATAAAGTAGGCTCATTAAAGAAGGGATGACTTAACTCAGTATCCAAAAGTCAAAGTGAACACTTTCATGTAAACTTGTTTCACTAAATCGTTTTTTGAATTTAATGAAAACAACCATGAGCTCATGAGCTGATAGGAGCAGTGTGTGCCTCCCTTTCAGGTCAGGTATACTCATCTAGTTATGGAGTAAAACTACACCATTCCAACTCCACTGTGATCTAAGATCTAAAACCACAATACCAATGCTGTTGGTTTTGGTAGTACCCGAAAGTATTAAAGACATCCTTTCTTTTAAACTTCACCTACTGAATAAATTTAATCTCTTTTGTAACTGTATCCAGGCCCACGGACTTTTATGTAGATATTTACAATGTATGAGCTTTAATACATATAACCAATTTGGTGACACTTTACTTAAACACTTTCCATGTTGAAGTATTAATTACAACTTGAGATAGGTGAAATTCTTACCCTATCACAAAACCTGAGGGGAAATTTGATATGTATTTTCATGTTTAATGATGTTTTAGCACTTAATGCTGCTACCTTTTCAATATCATTTTAGGGTAGATTTAATTTCATGATATACACCTCACACTTTGGTTGAAATAATTGTCAAGGACTAAGGACGTAAGTCAAGTGTGTGTGGCATTATTTTGTTAAAATAGGTTGAATGGTAACATGAATAAAACATCCAATAGTCAATGATACTACATAGTGTTGGTTATTCTATGATGGGTTTTTTAAAGCATTTCTCTGGTTCAATGATGACATTATTCACAGAGTGTTAACAAAATAAACAAGAAATTAACAATAATAATATTGTGGGTTCGCCCAGACCTGAGACACCCTCTGTAACATAATTGATTTATAGAAATATATTCAACCAATATATTAATTAACCAATATATTCATACCAATACTTGAGGGGGCCTTCAACTTAGCCTCCTGTTCTCAGTTGCTTCGCCAAGATGAAAAGTTAATGCACCAGGAACATTGTTTAAAGATTTCAGAAATTTTGAGGTGGTTTTTTCAATAAAGGCCGAGATAGACTATGATGGTAATAAGTGATAAAACAAAAAAAATCTAAATAATGATAATATCTAATGAACCTACACTTTAAAATCATCTACAGCTAATCCACACGGATGATAAAATAAATCTTTAAAAGGAGTATATTAAATCGATGATTGATTAGGGCTACAAAAACTTTTCGTACTGAGAAGCTGCATGACTTTCAGCATTCAAATCTTGCCATGCTTTCTCGATGTATGATGTATGTATGTTGGATTTTGGATTGGTGGATGTAAAGGTGGTAGGGGTAGGAGGACGGTAGGATTCAGTATCTCATGTCACAATCGGGTTATCTTGTTATCTTCAACTTCAATGACTCACAGGTATAGTAGGTAGCCATAGAAAAAAATAAGAATACACTATAAATGGGCAGTGCAACGAGCAGTTAGAATTGTAAATCGGAGATTGTAGAACAGCTTAAATATAATTCAACCTAAAGACCATGTGGTGCAGTGGATACAAACTCATATACCGGTACGGAATTCCTGGTAATGAAATGAAAAGGGGACAAACTAGCAAGACTGCAGCTAATTCTAATCAAGACATAAACAATGATTTCCTTACACCCCTATCAGACATGGTTGTACCCAGAGATGAGCAGGGGGGGCAGCTGTTCCCCCTAGAAGCCAGGATAAGGTATAAAAAAATTGAGATCCAAGAAAAATGTTATTAGTTTGAGAAAAGATGAGTAAGATAGTTTACAGATTTTTAAGCCATTTTTTGACACGTTATCAATTTTTCATTCGTTTCTGAGTTATTCTTCAATAAAATAAAAATGCCAATAGTAGTAATAAACCGACCAATTTATTGCAATATGTATAAACTAACAGCTTTGTGTAGTAACATGAATTAATATAAACCCAATTTTTGTGACATTATTTTGTTTTCATTTGCCTTCAACAATAATGTAGGCCGAAGCCGAACGAATAACATTTATAGCATTTTGAAAAAGCCTGGGAAAATTGAATTATTGAAATAGTGTAGCTACATGCTTAGCTAAACCAAGCCAGCTTTAACAAAATAAACTAGAAAAGAAAAAGAAGATTTGCAATTATCGGGTCTGGCTTACGGGAGATATAAATGAGGCAACGATGACATCATATTTTAGTTCAAAATTCATCCGTGTACAACGCTGTAGTAGAGACCACAGCGCGTAATTTTTATTTCACTGTTAGTTAATTTTAAGAAAAATTATAAAATTAATCTTACATTTTTTTAAATATAAAATTTAACTGTCATAACCAAACCAAACTAACCATATTTGCTGATAATGAAAAAATCGAATGAAGGTTTAATAACCGAAAAAAATTGTTCTGTTCATAAAATAAAATTTTAAATACCTCAAATTCTAACAAAAGATATACTGTAGTAATAAAACAGTAGTTGTTAAGAAGCAATCGCATTCTAAGCTAAATCTTTGACAAAAAGTCATTGCTATCGGTGGTCTGGTGGGGATCGAACCGGCTACCTTCAGTTCATCAGCGAGGATCGCTCTCACTTTATTACACCGTACACCTTCGAGGCCGATGGCTCATTACCGAATCGTTGAGGTAAGTTTAGTAGTGTTCCTTTAAGAGAAGAGAATTGATTGACAGCTGATGTCATCGAAGGCTCTTCTATACCTCCCTTGAGTAAATACCGCCCGCAATTATCTGTCTTTACTCTTTGTCTACTTTTCTTTATCTGTCATCTGTTCGAATCAAAATCAAAGCAAAGCATTGTTTTTGTTTTTCCTTTGTAGCAAGCTGTTTTGGAATTCGGAATCCAATTGAAATTTTAAATTGTGAATTGGTAAAATAATATAATATAACTGAACCGGTCCAACAAATAGTTGCTTTTTCTGTTGATTTAGGTCTATCTGTGAAAATATCAGTCCTACTAAAGGCTAAACTTAAGTTAGGCCTACCAGTTCAAATTTATTACTTCAGCTTAGCCTACTACCAGCTACTTACTTTTTCATCTAACTTATTTACTAGAACTAGGCATAGGCCCAAGTTTAGGCTAGAAACCTTAGTTCAATAGCATAGTGCTGAGTCCTAGGTCTACCAAACATTTAAATTAGTAAGACATTGATCCGTCTTATTTGTTGGCCTTTAACCTAAATCTCAATCTTGTTAACAATAAGAACCATGGCATCAACGCCATATGATCAGATTAAGTTATTATATGATCAAGAATTGTACTCGAACGTTGTTTCATTGGTAAGTACATTTTTAATGGAAGTAGGTGGCTGCACTTTAGTATATGGTTGTTACCTTTAGGTATACCCTTCATAGGCCTATACCCTTGTTACCTTCATACCCTTCATAGAACTAACCTAACTAAGATCTGTCCTACACTCTTCAAAATGAAATTTTTGATATAAGTTATCGATTATTTCATTCGATATATCAAGTTTGGTTAGTTAGGTTAGCCTAAATCAACCAAATGAAATACCGTAATATTTCGATATAGGCCTATCGATCAATGCCGATAGGCCTATTTATTCGAATGAGTGTAGAACAGATATTAAAGTGCAGCCCACTAAGTAAACAGTAGGCCTAATAACATTTAAAAAAAATTTTGTTTACCTTACCGCAGCTGATTTTTGGTGATATGTGGTTTCCATGGCAACACAAAATTGTTTGTTATTCGCTAAAATAAATTAGTAAATACGCAAATCAAGAAGCAAGATATTTATAAACATTATAATAGTAAGAAGAAACAAAAAGGGCGAAAAATAATAATAACTAAAGGCGCTGCCTAGCGGTGACAAAAGCGGCACTCGTAAGTCGGCCGCCGGGCCTGCAGCGGCCGTACGAGTAACGCTCGTAAGTCGGCGCCAATGGGTTAAGCATTAAACCCCATATTAAAATGAGATTTAGAACCCTATAAGTTACTCAGATTATATTCAATAGACTAAGTTATATTGATTAGCCTATTTCATTCGGTTAACTTAGTAAGGTTAGATTAACCTAATTTATGTTACCAAACTTCATATACTGGTATCGAATAAAATAATCGATATATCGATCAATATAGGCTTATTCATTCGAATGAGCGTAGGACAAATACTAAAGTGCAGCCACTTAGTGTATTCTAAGTTAGAATTGCGTAAGGAACCTAACCTCAAAATTGTGCTTGACCCTTTTTTGCAGAATGTTGATGGTGTATCCCGGGTACTTTGCCGCCTGCTTTTTCCCTCCATTTCACAACACTGAGGGCCGGCTAGCAGTTTTGTTTAACTTAGTGCGGTAATTATTCTGTATAGGCCTAGGTGCCTCCAAACGAATTTTTAATTTTGATATCTTACTTTATAGTTTTTTACCTCCTGAATCCAAATATAGGCTACCATTATTTTTCACAGCTGATGAATATTTCTAGAGGTATCGCCGTATTAATATACAACATTACAATAAACGAGGTAGGATGGATGACATTTACAAGTGGAATGAGGGTTAAGTAAACCAATCGGCTGATTGTTTTCAATCATGTCAAGCAAATGGAAGTGACAACTTTAATTAGCTAACTTAACTCTGATTCTACAATATGAAAATCACCTGATTAAGTTACACTTTTCACTTTCTAAGACCAATAAGTTAATAATGTATTATTGTTACCAGTATTTTATCCTTATTAATGGTTTATTGATTTATATTTCGCCGTTTAGAAATTACATAATAAAATGGTAGCTATCCTAACATAACCTAACCTAACCAAACCTCTAGAATGTGTAAGCAAACTCCTTGTTTTGATGTCAGAAAAGGCATGTCAGGGTGATAGGTCGTGCTTTTTGTGAATTGGTGACTGCATTAAGTTAAGTCCTTTGAAGGTACTTAGGTTAGAAATGAAATGAAATGCTTGAAATGAAATGAAATGCTTTATTTCCGTGAACATGACACATGTATGGAAAAAGTAAAAAAAAACAAAAACTAAGTAAGAGTACTAAAACATTGTAAAAATTACAAGAATTGTTTGTTCCTGCAACACTCCATGCATAGAAAATAAAATTAGTTTAAGTTAATAAAACAGATTAGGTAAGTTAAAGTTTAGGTTATAATGTAAAGTTGTTAGTTTATGTCACCTGCAGACTGTTTTTGTAAAATTAAAATCCAGAAAAAAAAACACTTCAAATTACTACGGTATTTCAAAAATGCAAGCATTTTTGAAAAAGCAAATGTTTTATTATTTTTCCATGTCAAAATTGATTATATTATACCCCCGCCGCAGCAAACCTGCAGACTTAGCGAATTTCTATTTGCCTGATTGGATTTAAACTAAAATGACTCCTTAAAAATATCACATTTATTCCCTATTTAAACAGAATTACTTTAATGAGTACTTAGGTTTGCTGCAACAGGGAGGGTAAACAAGTTTTTTTTAATGTAAAATGTTAAAAGGTACTGTGGTTTAGTAAGAAATTAATGTATTTTCCAAATTTGATTAAAATATTTTCATAAACAAGCAAACTACAACAGTTGACTTATGCTCCATAAGAATAACATGGGAATTTTAAAATTACATTTTTTTTGAATTTTACATTTACATTTTTTTTTAATTTTCTCCGTAACAATTAGGCGCATAATAACAGTTCAATATACTAAATTATTTGTTTTTTAAGCTGTTTTGTCACCAATTCACTGTTTTTTTACTGTTTTTGTTTGTTTTGTCACCAATTCACATACAGCACGACCTACCACCCTTAACATGCCTAAATTAGAACTACATGTAATTAGTCCACCAGTCCATCTATATCTCCACAATGTAACAAAATTTCTATTATAGAGAACATTAAGTTATTTGACTACAGAATCACTTAAAATGTTATCCATCCTATCTTGTTTATTGTAATGTCGAGTATGTTTTTACGGCGATATCTTGGGAAATATTCAGCAGCGGTGAAAAATAATGGTATATTTGGATTCAGGAGGTAAAAAACTATAAAGTAAGATATCAAAATTAAAAATGTGTTTGGAGTCACCTATACGTAATAAATACCCTTAGTGCTGCTAAAGCCGGGTTTACACTAGTTAGCCTATGTAGCAAAACTTGCTATATAGCAGATTTGTGTAACATCTAACAATATTATACTAGGGTTGCTTTCAGAGAGGTGAAAGCCAGTTGAGCGGAACAAACGTGATTTGATATTTGTAAGTAACTAAATGTAAAAAAAATCAATAGATGCTGGTTTTATTGATTAAAATTATAATAATTCAGATTTGTTTTTACTACATCTTGTTATTCAGATACCTCTTCCAAAAGTGCATTATGGTAGTTTTGGCCAGGAAAATATTATCAGTTTATTTGGTGCAACACAAATAAACAACTCGATCACCTAGGCCTACCTATAACCTACACTTTACCTCCCTAATCTTACCTTATTTCAAAACACTTAATGAAGTCACGAATACTCATAAACCCCGACCTACCTTCCCCACATGCCTAAATTAGATAAGTGTAATAACTTACTGCACCGTCGATGTAATTCAACATAATATAACCTGTGATGTATTATCGGATTAAATATCGATTTCGATTCGGTTCAAAATATCGCTTATTAAATCCTGATTTCTAACATTGGCTGTTTCTAATCAGCTGGCAGCACAAATAGGTTCCCAAGAAAGTAGTCACTGGTCCGTATCCCTCCGCTCCTTGCATTGAGAAAGTAGTTCCGTATATTTTCTCGATTTTCAGTGAATTCCGTGCCTTAAAAAAATGTTTTAACGGCATTTTCTTGTTTATTGAAATCATAGGAATGGTTTAAAAACGTCTAAAAGAAAAGTCTATAAAGTTCAGAAATACCTTATGGTTCTCTTGTTTACATTTTTCTTGTAAACAAAAAACTGTCATATGGCTACTTTAGTCCCATAAGCCTAATGTTAAAATTTGGAAATTTTAAGTTCGTTTTAAATTGCATTAGCATTATCTAATTGAAATTTGTTTGTTTATTAACCATCTCACTATTAGTCTAAATAATCTTGTTAAGTTTAGCTGAAATGTGTTCTGCCGTTATTGAGTGATGTTGCTTTATTTGTTGCATTGAAGTGGATCCCAAAGAGCTACGCTCGCTTCGCTCGCTCCGCTCAATAACATATGCTAGAAGTAGAAATAGTATTTTTTCAAAAGTGTTATATAGCACTGCCATATGTAGCAGATCCTGCTAAATATAGCAAAAATTTTGCTATACATCGGGAGTCGGTAAAGATCAAAAGAAATACGTGCTACATCTAACATTGCTACCTATATGTAGCAATGTTACCTATACAAATATTTTTCATCCAGCATCTGCTATACAGGGTGATTGATATAAGTGTGCCAGCCGTTTTATTCGAAAACTATAAGAGATATCAAAAAAAGTTAAATGGTAAGTGCCTTGGATTTTTTATTAAAAAATTTTTAGTCAAGTCAAAAAAATTATTTTAGCCGCCATTTTTCCAATACGGCCGCCAACTTTGATTTTTCTTATGGGACACCCTGTATTTTATGATGTGTTCTGGTAGAAAATGTAATTTTAAGACGATTTTATTCTTGTAATTTTTTTCATAAACCTAACCGTTTCAAAGATAATAATGGTTTAAGTTGTGAAATTTTGAATGGTTTTCAAATAAAACAGCTAACATGCTTGCTTAGGCCTTTATCGAAACTCTTTCTCATGCAGAAATTTCAAAACTTTAACCATTATTATCTTTGAAACGGTTAGGTTTATGAAAAAAATCACATTCTTAAAATTACATTTTCTACCAGAATACATAATAAAATACAGGGTGTTCCATAAGAAAAATCAAAGTTGGTGGCCATATTGGAAAAATGGTGGCTAAAATAATTTTGTCGACTTTACTACAATTTTTAAAATAAAAAGTTCAAGGCGAAAAGTTAAATGGTGGCCATTTAGAAAAATTTCGAAATCACCCCAAAATGCAGAATAAAAAATAAAGGGAAGTCCCCCATAACAAGTTGTTTGTCGGATTTAAAATTAAAAAGTTAGCTATTGGAAAACTTTAGGCTGGACACCCGGTATATGCAGCATTTAGTGTCATCAGTTAACAGTTGTAATGGTTGTAGCCTCCTGGGGACGTTTTTGCTGGTTTTTGCTCAGCGATCTTTGTTTACAACGGAAGGACTGGAAAGTGACAGTGTGGGGGATCAGGATGCTATTATAAACTTAATTGAACTGTTCTGTGGACAACCGGTGTTGTGTTGTGGTCATACGTAAAACGTTTTTGAAGCTACCGTCGCCTTATTTCGCGTTTTAATTATGGATCGTCAGAGTGATCGTCATCATTAAGGTTGCTTCCTAAATCTGTTACATTGTACTTAATTTCTCGAAGCAAGAAGCGGTCAAACCTAAAACCTTCGCTTCCGCCTCTGACTTTCTAAGATCACCGTGATAGCTGCTGCGAGCAATAGGTCTCTTCGGTGCGACATTTTCGATACGGAATGCGAATGAGGTTGTGCTACATAGCATATAGCACGAGAACCGTAATTGTCTGTAACTTTTTTGTATAGGCTAGCAAAAGTTATATATAGCAATGTTATATAGCAAAAGTTATATAAAAATGTTATAGCAAAAGTTATATAGCAGGTTTTGCTACATAGTGTAAACCCAGCTTAACTTATCTGTTGGGTTTCTGTAAGTTAAAACTAAGTACATCTGAAACAGCTGGAACACAGTAAGTTAAATGCCAAATTGAAATTAACCTATATAAAACGTTTTCACAAACTTAACTTATCCATGCAGTGGATTAACTGTTCCCGCCATGGGCCGTGGCCGGCCATGGCGCAACCTCAGTGAATATGTTAAGTTGATTCACAACAATGAATCGGGCAATGATAGGATGGACTAAGAAGCTTTAAGTAAGTTAATTGTACACAATAACTTGAGTAATTTTTGTAAGATTTTAATGAAATTTGGTTTTAAAGAAGGTGTTAAGCAAGATAAACTTTAATGAGTTTGCGAACCAGCATGATCAGACCATGGGAACGGGGTCTTATGGGGGTTTTATGGGGTATAAATTGGTTTTTCTCATTTTTGACCCTCAAAACGATTTCTCCCTAATTAGACTTTCTTAAAGAGCTTAAAAAAAACAAAAAAAAACAAATAACTAAGCAGCAACAAAGAACTGTTTTACGCAAGGAGAACTGTCAAAGAAGGATTGCTTACAGTTATGTTTATGTTTTTAATGTGATGAATAATTTGTGATTTTTGTGAATTTGTAATATTTTCTTTTTCTTTATTGTTTAGGTGAAGTGGTAGAACATTTTGGCTATATGTGTAATAGCATTAGTATACCGTCAATTTAAAGAAGCAAATTTGATCAAACTTTGACCACCCCCTTTGCAAACGCAAAGCTTGAGTGCAACTGCTACAAGCATTTTAAGCTTATATGCCAACCCCGTACAAAGGATGGGTACTCTGCTAGTATTGAATAAAGAGTAAAGACTATTTGAATCTTGAATGATGTTCAATCATGTTTCGATGGCTAAAGCTTTAATACAACCTTACGACTTCTTCACAAGTTGATATGATCACTGGTATCAAAAGTGGATTAGCCTACTTAGTTATATATTGAAACAACTGAAATTAAGTTACGGTACTGATACTTTTGGTTACACAAGTATTCTTTTAAATACGATTGAGTCGGATGTCAAAGATTCACCCTTAACTTAACCATCAAATAGCAATAATTTACTTTTTCTTAATAAAATAGCTAGGTAGCGTATGCACAGTTAAAATGAGATAGGTACTAAGTTGTGTTAGGGTAGCCTATATTGCTTTACAATTTCATCCATTTCTAAAGTCTTTGCATGTTCTTCAATTCCCATGGAGAAATTAGAAAGTTTTTACAGGAAAGTCTATACAGCCCCGCTATTATTCAGAGAGCTATCCAAAATATTAAAAAATAAATTTCCTGTTTCAGGCCAATCTTGTTTTGACTGTGAGTGATTATGGCAATGACATACTCAATCCATCAGCAAAGTTCCAAACCTACGTTCATTATGGTGACTCACTTTTACAGGTAAATTGATCTTCTTTACTAGTGTATTTGTTAAGTACAGGGATGTCATGGTGCTGAAACTCACCGAACGGCGTACTGGCACTGGTTTTGGACGGTAGTGGAAATATAATTGTAAATAAAGACATACTTTTCCGTTCAGACAAAAAAATGTTGTGCAAAAAACAACTAAAAATAATTTTATATAGGCTATCGTATGTAATAAAAATTTAGTTACCATGGACCTAAAGCCGGTTCCAGACATGCGCCATTTGCAAAGCACGAAATATTTGACGTTTGGCGATCTAGTTGTCTTGCAATTCGCCAATTAATGAGTAGGCTAGACTCTACACACATGTGTTGTTTTCCGAGCAACTGTTAGTTTTTAGAATAGCAAAAATATTCGTTCACTTTGATGTGTGCAAAAATACCAACAATGAACGGGAAAACACAAGCATGAGCATTTGCTGCTTGCTGCTTGCCAAATAGACAAACGCCTAGCCACACTACTCGCGATTCGGCGAGTCGCTGTTTGGCACTTGGCGAAAACGCATGCCTGGAGCCGGCTTAAGAATGAATAGAACATAAATGATGCCAAAACCTGGCAAACTACACAACTTCATCATGGTCGCCATTCTACGCAAAGACAAGATTACACAAGAACACGTGCCAAACCCAAATAATGAAACAATCTGAAGAAGACAAAAATCCATTTCTTTAATTTATTTAGGAAAGGTTTAGAGAAAAATGGTTTAACACGTTCGCTGCTGACCGCTAGATGCCGGGACGGCGCCAGGAGCTGAACTAACGCTGGCCGCTGCGTAACTTTGCCGCCGATACAGAATTACAGTAAAAACAATAGTAGGTAGCTATACTGGAGGGATGTTCTGCAATAAATCTGGCTTTGGACATAGTACTAAGTGATTCTGATAGATAGCAGCACTACCTAGGTTGCAGTCGATAAAGTAGTGTCGCTATCTAGCAGGAAAGAGGTGGGACAAAGCCCTGTTCTATCGACCCTGGTGGTGATTTTGGGAAACTATATTTTTTATTGTCAGAAAAGTACGTCCCCATGAGCTGAAAGGAAATATAGGACGCTCGTGACGAGCTGGCTGATCCATGGAAACGTTAAACAACAATGAACGGTGACGTTCCGGAACGTTCCTAGCTCCTGGCGCCGTGGCACGGCTTCTGGTAAGAAACAACATTTATGTTGTAAACACTAAATAACTGTTTTCAACATCAAAATGTTTCTTTTTCCAAAGTAGTGTTTCTTGGTTTTTAGGAACATTAGTCTTAACACTTGTTCCTAACTCCGGTGTATACACGGCTTTAGGGCAGCCTAATAGTGGGCAAAACAACATTTGCTAAAGGCCTACTTACCAATTACTGAGCAGTCAGTGTTTCTGCCTTTTAATTGATGTTATAATTAAAACATTGTTCAAATTGCAAGTGTATGGATATTACTAATTTGCAACGGCCTCCCAAAGTTTTTGTTGCATGAATGGGACTCAAAAAAGTGTATGCTATTAAGATTCATGAAGTTGCTGTCTAGTCTACATTAGCTAACAACCTAAGTTCAGGAAAAGCATTGCTTAAAGACATCAAAATGTGTATGCAACAAGCAAATGTATGTACATGAGCAAAAGAAATGTATCACATTAAGCAAACTTGCTTTCACACTAATATGTACTTAATGGTTTCACTGCTATCGAGTTTGAACAAGACTAGACTTGTTTAAGTTCTCTAAAATAAATGCTCCATGTTAAAAATTTAATTCTAGCTAATTTAAAACTGAATACTGTACATTAGCTTTATTATTTATTTCTAATATTTAATTTCAGCTGGGACGGTATGCACAAGCTGTTGCCGTTTATAAGCAGGCTCTACAGTTCAAGAAGTCCATGCTCAAGTCAAAGAATGTGACTAAGCCTAATGAAACAATCGTAAAAGATTTGATGCCAGATACTGGTAGGTAATTGTAATTTTGTTGTAAATTTAACCCTAAATCGTGACTAATGCTACTGTTTGCTAAAGCAGGCCTAAATAAGACCTATTATGGGACATCTACCTCATTTTCTTACAACATTACCCCCCCATGGTAAAAATTCAGTCATGAATAATATCTGCTGCCATTAAAGCTTTATAGTGATTTAGTCAATCAAGTGTCTAAATGATATTAGGCAACCAATAAAGTCATACTGTCTAATCTTTCTTCTGAATAAAAATTTGATTGATCGATCGATTGATTGATTAGTCAAAGTTTTTTCCACTCCAGGCAAATAAAATAAAATAAAATATCCTTTTTTATTCTTGTTTGCATAGTGACACCTAGAAATCTTTTGGTAAAAGGCCTACTTGTCTATGAATTGGCAGCTAATGATCAATTATAGATTCAAGATGCTTTATTGTCATAAAACACAAAGCAGTGCATGTACAAGCGTCAAGATTAGAATACAACACATGACTTACAATTCTCTCTTGATTATGTACACTCAATGATACAAATATCATATTACAACATAAGTATAAATGTGGCAAAAGCATTCACCAATGAGTATATTTTTATTAATTTTGTCTTTAAACTTAGAATAGAATGTGGCAGTTTCAATACTGTTGGCAATAAATTGTAAAATTTAATAGAACTATATAACCTCTTCACAACAGGCCTATTGTTATATGTGGTGTCTTGTATTAACACAATCTTTTATTAAAATAAGATCAATTGAATGAAGATCTGAAATCAATGTGGTTATAATTCATTAACTTAATTAAATTTAAATTTCTTAGTTATGAAGGTTATTTATTTTTTAATGCTATGGGGTATTCAGAGACTATACCAATAATGATAAAGTTATAAGACCATCTTAATTTTCTAAGCAATAAAAAAATCTTTGATAGCCTAGTTGTTAGCTTCTCAAACTTTGATGCAGAGGGATGGGTTCGAATCCCAGGGTACAGCCACAAAAGTTTGAGATGGTTAGAACACTTTCCTTAATAGCGTTTTGTTACTTTTATACAAAATCCTACTAGTGCAGTTATAAAAAATAAATGTTTTGTCGATTGTCTGTAACTGGTGTTTGTGATTAACAGATATCAAGTACCAGATCCACCAGTGTCTGGTCAAGATGAATCGCAATGATGAGGCTATGGAGGTACTACAAAGTATCCCAGTCAAGCAGAGAACTGCCAAGATCAACTTTGCCTTGGCCAAGCTGTTGCAGTGTCGTGGCATGGAGCGGTCCGCTGTCTCTGCGTACAAAGAAGTCCTCAGAGTAAGTCCCACATCTTCTATATGAAGCTGGTAAACAAGTTTCTCAGCAAGAAATGTGAAAGTAGTCATAAATATTTAACACTTTTTGCTCTGTAACTTGAGTTTGATTTTCTGAATCGTGTGACGGTCACCTGAGATTTATCCTGAATATTAACGAACACAGTATGGCAAATTTTAACCATTATTACTGCCATTGGCAATTAGGCTAGCTAAACATGATGCAACTCCACTAGCCAGACTTTTCTCTCAATTTAGTTGGGACTTCTAGTAGCCAGCATTATCTTGCAATATGTTTTGGTTGAGTGTCACTTAGACACTTAGGCTACAGAAACATGTTGCAGATCTACTAGCTAGTGTGACTTTCTTTTTACTATTAGCCACTTTCTTTAAAGTTGTAATATGTTATTTGATTTGAGTTTATAAGCCAATCATACAACTAGAAATAGCCTATTCTAATTTTGTGTTAAGAGTGTTCTGATGAAAGTTACAGTATTATCAAAGTTATTTACTCATCTGGTGTCTCGTGAACTTGATCGTGGATGCCGAAGAACCAGAGACACTCCCTCTGAATAAGTCCTCGTGACCTTGAACGTGGATGCCAATGAACATATTATTTCTTCACCAAAGAATTCCATCTACCCACGAAGAAATAGATTGATCGGCGAATTTATATCGGTCAAAGTCTATCTCGTACACTTAATCACGAGCCGGTTACATGTGGTCCATTATCGTCCACTCACGCCGACAGGAAACAATTGGTGACTCAGGTGTAGGCTACTCGAACCTCGAACTACAGTCACTTCGGTATTATACCAACATTTACTCCCAAGCCAATTACACGTGGTTCGATGTCATCCACATATGTCGATAAAAGACAGTTGATGACTCGTATGCACTCGAATTACAGTGTTTTACCAACATCACGTTGAGCTCCGTTGACCATCATCTACACACGTCCGTCCCACTCGAACTCCTCCGTGCTTCTCTCCTCTGACGGTGGACTGTATGCCCCTATGTCAGCGGAAGTGTTTTACTAGGACGCTCCTAGCGGTCAATCTCCAAACTTCTTGTAACTTCAATAATGATAAGGTAGATTGTATTGTGCTGTGCTCTACGCTTTAGTTTTGAAACCATTCTACCGTGTTGTATATTCTATCAAATCCGATTCCCACGGCAAATAGTTTTCTTAATTCAATTTAATTTGTATACATCGTTTCTTATTTTGTCAAATTTGCACCCATCACACTAGCATTATGATGAAATTCTGTTGGGTTTTGGTTGAGTGTCACTTAGGCTACAGAAACATGATGCACCTCAGCCAGCATTATCATGCAATTCTGTTGGATTTTGGTTGAGTGTCACCATGATGCAGCTCAGCCAGCATTATCATGCAATTAAGTCGGGTTTTGGTTGAGTGTCACTTAGGCTACAGAAACATGATGCACCTCAGCCAGCATTATCATGCAATTCTGTTGGGTTTTGGTTGAGTGTCACCATGATGCAGCTCAGCCAGCATTATCATGCAACTAAGTCGGGTTTTGGTTGAGTGTCACAAAGTTTTCAACACATCTATTACTGCATTATATTTGATGATTTGGTTGAGCACGGGATCTGTGGCTTGATTGTTCTTGTGACGGAAGGATTCAGCATTCCGTTCAGTATGACCGCCTAACCAAGAAGCGTGGGACAGTTGGATTAGAAGGGTGGGCTGGGTGCAAAATTGGGGATGGTTGCAAATATACGTTATCTTCCTCGGCCATAGTGGTCCTCAAGGTGTTGTCCCACATTTGAATAGGCCTATGTCTTATTCAAATTCTATTTTGTAATTACGTTAGCGAAGTACTTGGAATTCTTGTCAAATATGTACGTGGACAAGGGGTCTGGTTTAGCTGAATTCATTTCCCTTCCCTGTAGTCCTCGCAATAGAAAGTCAACTAGAAATCAATTCCAATCAAATATGTATAGCAAAGAAACTCTATTTTCAGTATCTTATCGTTTTGACGTTGAAAACTTAGATTGGAGAATCTCTAGTCACTCAAATATAGTTATAGTTACACCAGCCTACCTCTGTATTATTAATAAAAACTAATTTCTTTCAGGAGTGTCCACTAGCACTTGAGGCAGTAGAGGGGCTTCTCAGCTTGACTGTGTCAGGTGCAGAGGTAAATTCTCTAGTCATCGAGGCCAACCTCACCAACATGGATTGGTAATTATTTCTAGATTGACACACAATCCTGTTGTAGATTAAGACTGTCCACACACTGCAACAGTTGAGGCGATGTTTTTTGCTTAAAGGTATCTTAAGTAACAGAGAAAATTTACTTTTGTCATCAGTCGCTGACCGTCAGAGTGTTCTGCGCATTCATGAAGTAATTCTCTACCTAGATAGAATAATTTCAAAACTAAACCCTGTTTATGGTTTGGTATTAAACACAAGCAATCCCTTTTTGGAACAAGTATTCATTAAAGTCTTGTTTAAAACACTAAATCTGCTTGTACACAATGTTTTTTACATTGTAGATACCTCCGGTTTAACCCTCATAATTTTACAGGGTTTTATATTGATGCAAACCGACCCAAAACTCTAGTGCCTTGATTTGCCTTGCCTTCTGCCGTGTGTGCCCGCTTTGCAACAAGTTGAGTTACTATTGCCTTGACTGTTGCAGTGTGTGGCTGGCCTCACACTCGAACAGGCAAGGCGAGGCAAGTCTCATGCAGTGTGTGGTGCTCCGTAAGGGCCATACCTTCTCTGCTACTCAAAATGCCTCGTACTGACTGTTTCATTGGTAACCTTACTCGAGACCACAGACAGGCAACAATTCTGTTGATGTTTTGTCTGCTAGCTGTATGTGCGTTGCTTGTCCAGGGTGAACAACTGGATCAAAGCCCACGCTCACCTGTATAGCAAAGAGTTTTCTCAAGCCATCAATGTGTTGAGACAACTAGACGAGAGAACGCCTCTGAGAGGCAACCACTCTCTCTTGGTGTCCCTAGGAGAAGCTTACTACTACATCGGTGACAACACCAAGGCTTGCAATGTTCTGTTAAGGGTATGTACCTTACTGTTATACTTGTGCAATTTTACGATTAGCAGCATAGTTTCATTTAAGAACGTTTATTGCAGCTTCTTGTTCTTGGCTGTCAGTTCTGTGTAATAATTTGTATAAGAACTCATTGTGCAGCGCCTGAACTTTTTAGTTAGAATATTGTTTAAGGTACATACCTTCACAGACCACAGTTCAATAGAATATGGTCAAACTCACTACATGTTTCGCCTATACATAGGCATTGTCAAGCGATTTTCAAGAATGTTTCATCTCATCCATTGTAGACTAGTGAAGAACATTCATAGAAATACACATGTAAGACGACACATAGTATGATAACACATTAAACAATTGGTCAGCTGCATTAAACTTTTGAGTCAGCTTCCGTACCTCCACCGGTTAATAGTAGGCCTACTAATTGTTTAATGTTAAGGGTGTAGCATAGAGCACAAGGGCCTAGATTTTTTAGGATTTTTTGAGAGGATAGCAGGCTTACCTGAATGGGAAAGAGTCCAAACTGGCACAGGAAACACAAAACATAACTTTACACTATATACACAACATTAGAATATTTCACTGTCACTGACAGCATTTTCAACTAAGGAAGAGAGAGTTTTTTTGTTGTGTATATAGTGTAAAGTTATGTTTTGTGTTTCCTGTGCCAGTTTGGACTCTTTCCCATTCAGGTAAGCCTGCTATCCTCTCAAAAAATCCTAATTGTTTAATGTTTTATCGTGCAATGTGTCGTCTTACACTTGTATTTCTATAAATGTTAGAGACAAGTCTACAATGGATGAAACGTTCTTGAAGGATAACTTGACAATGCCTATGTATGTACCATACTCTATTTAACCGTACTCTATGAACTGTGTGATTAATGGTATAAATAATAGAATAAAATATACTTAAGAATAGTTGCACAGATAATTTTCTAAAAGAGTATCGACCCCTAACACTCTAATCCTCAGTCACTTTATATTTTTTCTATTTATCTTCACTAGAATGTGAATCTTGAATAGCTGTTACAAAAGGCCAGCTGAACAAGATTGTTTTTCACTCTAAAGTTGATTGGTCATCATTCTTAAAATTTTTCAAGGAATAGTTTCCCAATGGACTTATCTCATCTGGGGAAGTAGTGTACTTGATCATTTTGATAGTGGGTTTGGTAGGTGTAATTTGCAGATAAATTATAATTTATGTGTTAAGTGCTGCCAGTCTTTTAATAAGTGCTTCTAGCCAGTATTGTAATATTATCTAGTTGGCATTGATTAAATAGGACTAGACTGCTATAGGTCGGCTGGTTAGAAAGCGACCTGTGCGAAATTTTAAGCACATGTAGGGGAGGTAACGGCGAGGGAGGGTATGTTCCTCCTCTCTGCGTATTTGTTTACATTTTGATCAGCTGTATAATTTAATTGCTGTTAATATTTTAGTTGCAATTTAAGGGGGCGTGTGTTCGGGAAGGGTGGGATGGCAGCGGAGTGGGGGAAGAGCCATAGTCTGTCTCACTCCCACAGCTCGGTATCTCTCTCTCGCACCAATTCTACGAGGAGGTCGTTTTCTAAGCGGCTGAATTTATTGTAAGGTACCAAATTTTAAAGGGGGGTAAAACGTACTGCCAATCAACAAACACCATAACTTACCCGATTTTTATCCACAACAACTTACTCCTAGGCCTATGTGTTGGCCATAGCTTGGGCTATGGGCAAAAGAACGTAGGCCTACTTTTAATAACAGTGAAGTATACAAAATCACCCACAACTGCATATTTATCAGTAATAGTACTCCATTTAAGCAAACAAAGTTAAACCGACCGATTTTACAAGTATTTATCTCCGACAACGACGACCTAACCTCAAATTGGTGTTTGTTGACCAACGACAGACGATAACTAGACCGGCTCAACAGGTGAATTCCGATCAGCTGTTGTCTATTAGTATCTAAGTTTGCCGCTTGAGTGCATAAGCCTCGAGCGGACTGAATTGAAGGATTTACTTCCAAGACGAGACATTTGTTCGTCAACTGCCGAAAAGTCAACTACGTCTCGAGCGCTTACGATACGTCTACCCGGTAATCGGAAGGTTAGATATATTAGTCAATCTTACATTCACGTTTAACGATAATCTTTTCCTTTTAATCTACGTATTTTCGTTCCAAAATTAGATCTTAAACTAGTGGCTTATAGGGGCAATAGCCCCTATATATATTCTAGTAATTACTTTGTACAAATTACTCCTCTCGTGGGTTACCCTGCCTTTAATTATTGTTTAACATTTTTGTTTATTATAATAAGTATAATAGTTATTATATAACTGCATAATGCAGATGTCTGCTCTGTTTAAAATACAAATTCAAAAGGACTGTTCATTACTGTTCATGTTTATAATACAAACTTTCTGATCATAATACAACTAAGGGACATTTTCAATAACGATCTTCATTACTATTAATTAAATATAATACTGTATACATTTCTTTGAATATAGACAAATTCACTTAGATAAAACACATAGAGATAATGTCATCCTCCAAATTGTAAAATGCCAATTCTATAACAAAATCTCTCTGCAAACAACATTTGTTGTATGGTATTTATTTTGGTCCATTCCTTGGTCTTTATTTGGTTATAGTACTATTTTAACATCATCTGGCCGCTTTCCCCGGCTAAAAGCAACATAAAGTAGACCATGGGTAAACACTGGTTTTTTTTCTCAAATAAATGCCAACTTTTGTTAAGGTTTTTCCTTGCGCTTTAGCAAAAGCTAATCGCAATGGGAATTGAATCCTTGTTTGGTTTAAACGGCATATTAGGACCTGTAGATATTAGTTTTATTATTGGCATGAAAAATATGTTCCCTTTGCCTACTCCAGTAATTACTTCTAACTTTACACTTTTTCAGACATACCTAGCACAACTAATCATACTCAATTAACTAATCCAGATACATATTACAGTACACATTACCATATGCTTTAAATATAGATAAACCACATGTTTTCAAGTAAACAAAGCAAACATGACCTAGATTCCCATGCTATTTAAACGTGAATTATTTTATCCAGTAACAACCTTTTGGTGCATAATTAAGAAAAATTAATAATTTTCCCCAAAATGTCATGCCTAGACCTTTAAAATGAGACCTCTCCCAGCTTTCTACGGTCTCCCGTTAGCTCACAATTTCATTGTAAAATTTTTGGCTTACAGAATTAGATATATAGATAACTAAATTTAATCACTTTGAATCCACCGACTTTAGTTTAGACCCGCCAGTTCCTGCCGGTCAGTGACTAGTGGTAGCTATAGTTAAGTTTAATTGTTAGGCACGAAATTTCTATTAACCTGTCTGTCCGACAAATAAATATTACGTAGCTTTTTTGTTCAAGTAATTAATTCACCGTTTTAATACCCCGAGACTTGTCGTCTGAGTTCTAAACCCCGTCTTTGGCGGGAGAGAAAACCTAGTCTTGGGAGTTATTATTTCATGATTGAGCGTAGGTTTAATGTGACGAATTCGTATGAATGACAACTTTTGACCTCCTTTGACACCTGAAGAAAGCCCCCTGAGGGCTGAAACTGCAGTAGTGTAAACTACTCCAAGGATGACCTGACAGTTAATGTATTTCAACCATTTTTAATTAACATTATTATTGTAAAAAAGTATATTTTAAAGCCACACTCTCAAGTGCTTACACTCTTAGAAAGTTTGAAATTACATATTTATCTTTACGACTGCATGAAACAACCAGCGGAATGTAGATGAAGTGTTTCTAAGAAAACTATAATTGACTTTATATTTTTCCTGTTTAGGCTCATAACGCTAACCCAACCATCACTCGAGGATTAGACGTGTTGGCATCTCTGCTAGTCGGTGAACACAGGTAAACTATTCTACAAACTATTTTGTACATATTGTCACAAGTTCTAGACATCAAACTCAAGTAAAATACAGTATATCAATTCAATTTTTCTTTGTCACCATGAGACAATTTTGGAATTTTGTCAATGTGTTGTGCAGACTACCAGAGTTGGAACGTCTGATGCCGACCTATGACCCCAACCTAGACGTGAGTCATGAGGTCTACACTGCTATTGGATATCTTATGTATGCCAACAACAACCCTTCCAGAGCTGCGTACCTGGCTCACAAGGTAACAGTCTTAATTTCTCTAGTAAAATTGCTACATTTAAAAATTCAATTTATTTATTTACAGCATATACTAGTTTACAGTAACTACTCAATTTGGTACAATCATTTTTTAAATCACGGTTCATTACAATATTGCAGGGCAAACATATTTTAAAGCCTATTTAACATATTTAAACATATTTTTTTTTATTAAGCCTGAAACCCATAGATTAGAGAAATTTCATTTATCTCCCCAATATATAGGCCCACAAGTTTACAATAAGTTACCACTCCGCATAAAAAATATTGATAGTAAAACACAGTTCAGATCCACCCTGAAGACCTGGTTAAAAACAAAAAAATTTTTTTCTATAGAATGTTATTTAAATAGGGACGTTAAGTTAGATTAATAATTTAGTAAGACATTTTTGTTATTTCTTAGTTTTGGTATATCCTGTATATGACTTTATGTCCTGTCAAAAAATGATGTAATGACATGTAGTAAATAAATAAATAAATAAATAAATAAAACAATTTTCTTGAGAAATTTAACACTGTTGAAATTGTATGGTCAATACACCTGTGTCCTACTGATCCGAATGTCCAGATAGTTCAAAGCACCTTCTGGGGGGCAAAAGCTTACTGTACCAAATTGAGAAAACATTTCTATGTGTTCTGAAATGCTGACCAGAGTGTGCAGATGACAGGGAATTGGATGTCAATTTTGATAACTGCAAACAGTCCATTAATTGTGATTGTCTGTGAATTTATATGAAACCGAAAAATTTTGAATATTTGCCTTTGGCCAAGCATCCCATTCATTAACTGAGAATCCTTTGGTTCTCTTTTGGGGTTGTTGTAAAAGTAAGAAAGAATCTGATAGAATAGATCTCAGGTGTTGCTGTGATCGCGATCACAGTGTCACCGTGATTGTTGCCGTGATCGCGGGAGATGATCATGGGTGTTTCTGCTTTTGGGGGAACAATATGGCCATTTACAGTGATAAAAATAAAAGGTTTCTCCTCATGAAATTTTACTGCATTTCCAGCTAATCTGAACAATCCACTCAATATAGCAATCTGAACAGTATCCCATCTAGTTTAGATTAAGGAGACTTTGGTGTAATTCCAATTAATATTTCAGGAATTGCTAGTTTAAAGAGACTATGACTATGAGCTGTTAAAAATGTTAAGGCGTGTAAGTTTAGATCAACCAAATCTGTTTTGTTTGCAATTTATGTAGTCCAAGTATAGTAGGCTTATCACTATAAGTACTTCTTGTAGTACATTTTAAAACAGTGGCTGAGATATGCTGAAATTGTAATTTATAGTATTTCATGTTTATTGTTACTGCAACAAAAATTGCAAGGCACCTTGAGATCAAAAGGTGTTGTAGATGTCATTTGAGTTGTATACTTGGTGTTTGGGTTTCGTTGTTTGATTCTAACCATTTTGTGCAGGCTTGCCTTATGAAGCCACACAATGTGGAGGCGCTGATATTGAAAGGCAGAGTTTTGTACGATCTCAAGAAGTACCAGGATGCCGTGCTGCACTTCCGAGAAGCTCAGCAGGTCAGTAGCGATCTTTGGATCAAGGGTTGAACATTTATTAACTTAAGTAAGTTTCTATATACGACTATCTAATCTTTGGTTGGCCAACCTTCCTTCTAGATAGTAAAGTGCTGTGGAACCATACATTTTTCCCATATGATGTGACCGTAGGCTCATCAAGACATTGCCTTTTGCCACCCCTGCCTGTTTAGTGTTTGGTGTCTATACTAAGATGATCTGTGCCACACTTGACTGTAGAGTATGATTTTTTTTACACTGCATGCCAGACAGTTGGTCAATTCCTCAAACCTTCATACCTGTCTACCACTCAAGTCTTAGAGTGTGAACAGAGAGCTGTAACAGTGAAGTGTCGCTTTTTCTCATTTTTTAGTTCAGTAGTGCCATTTAAACTTTGTCAGTTAGTGTTATTTGTTATGATGGTTGGTGAAAGGTTAGTGGTTTGGGGGGACAAGCTTGAAGCCTTGAACAGTTTTGAAGAAGAGGAAATTATTTCGATTCGATGGTTTTCAACATAGGCCTATGTACAGCTTTTTTTCATATCATTTACCTTCTCACGTATCTGTCCTTGTCACGGCTGGTTCAAGTCAAATTGTTGAGACTACTGTATTTATGTTACATGTTTCCACCCCGAATACTAAAATAGTGTTTATCATGTGTGAGTGACCCGTAGAAGCCTTCTGGCTCTATTGTTAAATATCATTTTACTATCTTATTTTTGTCTTTACACTTTTTTTACAAACATTAAAACATAAATATTTTAAAGAAAATACTAATTTTTCTGTAAATAACTCCCACACTTGCATAATGTAATTTATTATTACTATTAACAAATAATGTTTTGTAAGTAGGCCTTTCATTGAAATTATGATTGATGGTACAAGACAATGTTTTGAATTTTTGCCTATTAATCAATTGAAAATATCACCGGTTCAAATATATAGCCTACAAAACACAAAATAATTATAAATAATATTTGTAATTATTTTGTGTTATAAATAACAATACTGTATCATGTTTGTTGATAGGCAGCCCAGTACCGCTATGAGCCGTACAAAGGTTTGGTGGACTGCTACGTAGCTCAACACCGGATAAGGGAAGCCGTCAGTTTTGCGAGCAACTGTTGCAAACAACTGAACAACACGCCTCGAGCTCTTACGGTATGACATGAAATAAAACACTTGGAATTGATGTATTCTTTATTCTTTTGAATGTAAGAATATTAATTCATTGTAATGATAAGATACACCTGAAATTCTGTGTCTAATATTTATTTTATGTTACTGTTATAATCAAGACTTCATTTAAATAATTTTAAAGCCTTTTACAGGTTTTCAGAATGTTTTAAATGTTTTTAAATCCAAAACTAACTGTGGACAATGTTATTATTTTTAACTTAGTTAGTACAGTAAGTACTTTATATAATTAATTTTCAAGTAGAAGGCCTTCTGTAAGAGAACAGTCTGGACCATAGTCGTGCTACTATTTAACCTTATGTTAGATAAAACCATAAATTGACCCAATGTCAAATGACATCTCGGTCCAGAATTGATCTCGCTAAGAATCAAACTAGCGACCTTCAAGCGACCTTCATATTCTAAGGCGAGCACTGTAACTGTTCCGCTATCCAGATTAAGTTTAATAATGTGACAGTCTTGTTTGAAGGTAACCGTACATGTTTTTTTCTGTTTTCTAGTTATACGCATCAGTTCTCATGAAGGACCCGGTGACACTAGTGAAGGCTAAGAGTTTACTGGAAAAGGCTCTTCAACAAGATGAAAGTCACTTACCCGCAGTTTACTTGTTGGTGCAGATACTAGAACAGGTTTGTATGATGGCAACAGTCTCAGAATTTTTTATAGCCTAGCAAAATTTTGTACACTATTTCAAGTTGAACATTCTATGCAGTCATATTGAATTCTTGAACATCTTCTATGGTCTTGGTGAAATCGTGAACATCTTTTGCAAGAACACCTTACACGGTTTGACTCAAGCGGTTTGATAGCTTATTATGTGTACTAAGTACATGATGAATTAGTTTGATTTTAAACATTTGTTTAATTGAAACCTGTTCAAGGTTTTAGACCAGTTTTCTCTTCTTCTTTTGATCCTTTAAATATATTATTATCTGAGCTTTTTTGAATTTTTTTCATAATTACTTAGGCTTAATTAGTAACATAAAATGAGGTTACTAACCTGTCGTCAGGTTCCTAACCTCATTTTATGTCAATAAATCAATCCTGGAGGCAAATTATGTATAAACTAATTAGTAAGTTAGTCCAACATTTTTCCTTACCATTTAGCTAATCTGTTTTCTAATCTGTGCTAACAATTTGAGGATTTTGTAGGAAGACAGTCTGGAAGCTGTGGTGGCCTTGTTGGAGAAGCAAGTGACAATAAATCCTACATCTAAACTACATCAAATGCTTGGTGACATATATGCCAGGATAAATGATGAACAGAAAGCATTTGAAAACTACCACATTTCGTTAAAGTGAGTGTTTTCTGACAAAATTAGGGGTGTGCGATGCATCGAAAATGCATCAAAATTCCGAGATTTGATTCAGTGGTGATCAAAAAACGATTTGATTCATGAGGAAGTCAGTATCCATATACGAAAAATGCCTGCAAAAATTCAACGCAATACCCGCAATACAGAGGCGTGTTGATGTTGCGTTTCTTTTCTGAAGGCGTTTTTATTTAATTAATTCTTTGCAGCAGTAAGAGACATGTTTTACTACTGTAATAGCCAAAACAAGTCACTCCAAAATCATTCTAAAATTAATACAGGTCTGAAAAATTGTTACTTGATACTTAACTAGTAATTTATGTTTTAGACTGATAAATTTTGTATTTTTTGTCTGATATGTATTCCTTGTAGTTTGTAGGTCTGATTCTAACCTCTCATTTTATCAATTTGAACCAATTGAAAGTTTCAGTATAAATCTTGTAAATGTTTTTATTTGTTTACACCAAAAATATCTTTATTTGTAAAATCAATACTAAAAAATAGGTAACATGCTTAACAATATGATTCTGCAAGTAACAATTATGAAATAGGCAAGTAAAGCAGCTCACTGACATTTCCAGCAATACAGGTTCTTCTAATACATGATTTAAAATAAATATTTTTTCACCTAAAATTCATGCATATGTATGAATAGGCCTCACCACATCGACAAAAAATGTCAGTACACAAATGTGGCAAATTTTAATTAGCCTATTTTATTTTGAAAACTGAGTTTATTATAATAACATTTTCCTTAGGGATGGTCAAGTCTCGAAATTTCGGGAAATTTTCGGGAAATTTTAAATCTCGTTACACGAGACGAGATTTCTTTTTGGCCGAGATTTTTATCAAGACGAGAATAAAAAAAAAAAAAAAAAAAAAATTATAAACGCCTGCAGAAAGTCAATGCAATACCCGCAATACAGGAGCGTGTTGTAGTTGCGTTTCCTTTGCGAAGGCGTTCTTATTGAATTAATTCTTCAAATGTAGGCCTATATATTACTTTAATTATTTTAATAACATTTGAGAAGTTTTGTTAAGTGTTTGTTAGGAGTGTGAGGAATGTTTTATTACCATAAAAAAAGTCAAAACCAGTAACTATTTTATAAAAATTAATATTTTATTTTATAATTTATTTTATTTTAGGATGAGTTGAACTCTATCCTAACTGATATCACTATGTTTCCTAATTGTAGGCATTTTTAATAAGTTAGGCGTGATTATTAAAAAAATGTTATGCTGATGTTTTTTAATAAAAGATTGTAAATAATCTTTCCTACTATCATTATTTTTGTATTTAAACAGTCATCTAACAATGTTACAAAATCTGGTAAAAATTCCGCACGTGCATTTCCCGTTGTGTATGAGAAGGGAAATCCCGTCTCAAAATTTTATGAGAAATAAAAAATCTCGTCTCGTCTCGTCTCAAACTAAAAATCCAATCTCGTCCATCCCTAATTTTCCTATTAGACAGAGTAACAAAACTTAAATAAACTTAAATTTATGATCTAAATAATAAGTTACTTAGATTAATAATGTTGTTGTCCATTTGAATGATTTTACATGGTCCTTTCAACACTTTAATGAATATTTATTTTTTTTTAATTTTGGTGGAAGATTATTTTTTTATTTGACAAACATTTTTTTATTAGTCCCTCTTGCACAATCATCATGCCAATTACTGACATAGAATTTAGATCATATTTGTTTTTTTAAATAATTTTCAAATTTTTTATAAATTTTTCTCTTTTTTTCATCTAAGTTACTTTACTCCATTGACAAGTATGAATAGAAAAATGCTGTATTGCTTTGAATCGAGTTGCATAGATTCAAATCGAAAACCTTTTGAATCGAATCGCTGCTTCGAATAGAAAGTTTTTTGCTGCTTCGCACACCCCTAGACAAAATATTAATGGTAACAATTGCAAGAGTTTCCTTCCCTATTGTATGGAATTGAGAAATTTTAAACTACTTAACCTTTATAATATTTCTTGATGGTTTACCAATTGTGTTTTGGTCGCTAAAAAGTATCCTTGCATGTTCACTGGTCTCGTAGAAAATATTTGTAATATCTTGAGCTTAGGAGAAAAGGATCTATTGTGTGTTACAAATAACCCTCCGAGTGTCACGTGTTTTGGCCTTAATGTCAGCCTATTTTTTGCTCATTTGCAAGGTTTTATTAAAACTGATCTGAGAAGCTTAAAAACAATGTTAATTATACTGTTCTATATACCATTTTGTTTGGAAAATCTTGGGCTTCAATATTATATTTAAAACTTAAGGAACATTTAAAAAAAAAAAAATTTTTAGGTAAAAAAAATATAATTTCCAGAATTTTCAAAAAAAAAAATAAGTTCGCGCTCAATGAAATTGTATAAATTATAGGCCTATAAATATTTGAAAATAGCCACTTTGTTCTAAATTTTATGAGGATTACAAATATATAATAATATAAGGAAGTAGATTTGCAAATAAATAAGTTATGGGCAAAAAACAGATTTCAGTACATAGCGTTTAGCTAAGAATGCATAGCCCAACCATAGCTAGGAATCTGGCTGATAATTTACATCAATATCACTACCTACTTCTTCAGGATCATCAACCAGCCCTTCAAAATCACTTAAATCTTCTTATAATGCACCACGTATATGACTACTTTTGATTTTTAACACTAAAACAATGATAAACATAATAAAACACATCAGTCATCGGTCCGAGGTTAACTAACCTGTTTACTAATATGCACGTCAGCTGTCTGCTACAATTACGATCGGCTCGGAGAACATACAGCGCTTAGAGACAGACCTTTAGAAAGCTTAGAATATAATGAAAAGAACGATACCTAACTCGATCCAGTTCAATCCGATTTTGTCAGTTATAGAGCCTTCGCCGTAAACAGTGTTCGTGAGTCGCTGCAGCGACGCATGACACTCGGAGGGTTAAAGGCAATAACATGGAAACGTGGATTCCCATTATTCTGAAGAATAACAATAGTAATTACACCAAGGCTTGATTCCATAACAACTTTTCTTGTTTGTTCGTGCTCAATGTTACACTTATATGTAAATTAGCAGAAGGGACTCAAACAGACACAAAGGGTTGTTCCCCAAACATACGATAATAATTAATTTTTCTAGGGATGGATGGGATTGAACTTGAGATGGTTAGATGGTCCGAGGGGTTTGAGATCACAAGAGATGTATTTGTCATGATCACGGTGAAATCACTGATGGATAGAAGTGTAGAACAAATCCTTTCCTGAGAAAATCCCATTCCCAACCAAAGTTCGGGTATTTATTTTCCCTTTAATTTCAAGACACCTTTATTCCTTAATTTTGTCAATCAGTTGTGAAATTTCACACAATCATATGAAAGCAGTTGCACAGATTCTTTTGGTAAAATCTCACAGGTTTAGTATAATTTGTAAATTTCATGTGTCTTTTTCTAATCCATTGGTATTTTTATTATTTTTTAAAGGTAATGTTTTTCGTTACAGTCTAGATGCCAACAACCGCAGGTCCATGGAAGGTATGCAGAGACTACACGCGTCTCCATCACTATCAGCCAATGACAGGTCGTACTACCATCACAACATGAGTGATGTTGAACCTGAGCCTAGCAATGACAACGTACCCGACTCAGACCTAGAAGCTAGCAGCGAGATATCCTTATGATATACTTGGGTAAATCATAGTTCTCCCCTTTTAGTTAAATTAGAGATGGTCATATTTAGACAAATTTTGTCAAAATTTACACTAGTATAATTCTAACTTAGTTTGCCGGACAACAGTAAAGTTTAAAATTTCACTGTTGTAGCGATCATCTTACATGCAAAGATTGCCTGTAAAATAAGATCTCCAGCAAGCTCCTGTCACTGCTGATCAATCTCTAGTTCAAAACCTATACCATCATGTTCTTTATCTCATTGTCTAGCTGGTACATTCCCACAGTAGAGAATGATGAGCTGGGTAGCTGAGTGTTTATAGTGCTCGCCTAGCAATCTAAAGGTCACTGGATCGATCATGAGAAAAGTCAGTAGCTTTAGATGGTTAGAAACTGAACCGAACATGTCCCTGATCATTGGGCTTTAAATAAATGATACTGGCTAATGATAAAGGTGCTCTTAGTCAGGAACAAAGCTTAACATATCCTCACACTCCATTTTACAATCATCCTCCAACCATGTTTGGGTTTAAATACAAACCTAGGTTGCATCACAATCTCAATTAATAATTGAATTTAATTCAATGATGACGTGAGAGATAACCAACACTACCAGTGTATGAATCACATTAATTTTCTAAGGTGTTAATACCACCTAGTCTATTGACATCAATATATCGTTGACAGATATGGATGGAGAAAAGTGTTTGGATGTGGAAAATGTGCATTAAGGGTGGATGAAGTTTGAAGGTGGTTTTAAATAATCAGCCTGATATTTACATTTATTTGCGTGGTGTAGGCCTGCTTTGGGCCGTTCATTAGTTTCGGTTGAAGCGATGACCAAAGTTGGGGAAATTTATTTTGCAGATCACAGTATGTCTCTAAGAATACCAAGGACAATGGTATATCCAAGTGGTAACATATCATTTAGGGAATCAGCACAAGCTCAGATTCCTCAACTTTCACTGGGTCAACACTGATGAACTGCTGTGTTGCAAATGTTTGGGGCCTTCTACAAACTCCCTTAGCCACTTGTTCTTATTTCCTCCCGCCATTTGTGTAATAACTTCTGTCAATTGGCAATGGATTTTGATTGGAGTTGACCCCCCTGCTACAGAAACCTTATCCATACTTGTAGGGGGAGCATGAAATTCTTGATTTGATCTTTGCTAAGCCACAAACATTTAATTTTTGCAGTTCATGCTATTTTGGTATATTGTTTTTTTTTTTTTTAGATTAAACATAGAATTTTTCTTTAGAGGCTTTATTTTGTTTCAGGGATCCACCGAAATGATCGACGGGAATGAGTCTGATGTGTTGATTTAAGCCCAAGTACGAACTTAGTAGCATGATCATTGTGTTTGTCATCAGTCGTCTCTTGTCTATTACATCACACAGCTTATCACAATAATTTTAATCTTTTCTATCATTGTTTTAAAATATACTATTTATTCATTATAGTTGTTTTATTCTTGGTTTGAATCCTAAAAATTATAGTCTTGTGGTGTAAGTATTCAATTATTGCACTTGAGAAAACCCTTAGTTCATCTTGTAAAAAAATGACTGTCTGCTTTGGTTACATAACAAGCTACCAAATATATTCTTAGTATAACAGAAACTTGGTCTGGCCAAGTTCGCATTACGAGATCCAATTAAGAAAATTACAAATAATGTAAATATTTTTGTTAAAGTTTTAATGGAGTACCTACTAATTTGTATACATTAACTTATTGGTTCTAACTTCTAAGGGAATTGGTGGCAGCACCAGTGTGTGTCTTACTCTGAGTGAAAAAAATTCCTTAAAACAAACTACATTATTCAGGGCAGTTACATCATTACACATCATCATTATATGGTGTATTCATTGGTAAAACTTTATAAAAGCAGCTAAAAGAGTTACCTGACATATGTCACTATGTCATTTCAGTGTGGATTTCAGATTATGTACTTTACTCTTATATTTCGTTCACATTTAGGCGGTTTTAGGGAAGAAATCTATCCCCTCCACTCTATTCTTACCTTTAAAATAAATGCTCAACAGCTGGTTAAGCAACATACATTAAGTACAAAAAATTGGGGGAGGAATACTTTATTATCCTATCCTATACTCTAATATGAGCAATGTTTGCTTGTATGCTTGCTTGCACAAAGATCTCAAAAACGGCTCCGACGATTTTCTTCAAATGTTGTAAATAGTTCATTTCTGGCCTAAAAACGAGTTTCATGCAGTTAGAACTGCCAACAAAAATCTAATTACGTAGAAAAATGAAACTGAAAGTCACATTTTTTTAACATTAGTCTTATGGGTTGCTAGGTAACCATGTTGGCTGAATTAAATAACAAGGAAAAAGTAAACAAAACAAAAGACTTGAAGTTGTAGCATGTGTTCATAATAAGCCAACTACCCTCAGTATACTAGCAAATTGCAAATACAGTACAAAAGGAAAAAAACATCACTTGTTAATATTTAGCAAAGATTATACTGAAGATTACTCGATACATTGTAGTCAAGGGTAGCAGTGCGAAGTCTGGGATCTGTTTATGAGGTATCTGCAATCCTAAAATGCTATGGGAAGGGAAAGAAAAAGGTCCGCAACGTAGGAAGTGATGAAGGAAGTAGTAAAGGCAATCATAAAATGCTATGGGAATAGAAGGAAACAGGTCCGTGACGTAGGAAGCGATGAAGGAAGTAGTAAAGGCGAGCAGTTCGAAGTGTGGGGACTGTTTATGACGATAACATCAGGGTATCTGCAATCCTAAAATGCTATGCGAAGGGAGGAAAACAGGTCCGCGACCTAGGAAGTGGTGAAGGAAGTAGTCAAGGCGAGCTGTCCGGAGTGTGGGAACTGTTTATGACGATTAGATAAGGGTATGGGCAATCCTAAAATGCTATGGAAAGGGAGGAAAACAGGTCCGCGACGTAGGAAGTGGTGAAGGAAGTAGTCAAGGCGAGTAGTATGGAGCGTGGGAACTGTTTAGGACGATTAGATTAAGGTGTCTGTCTGAAATGCTATGGGAAGGGAGGAAAACAGGTCCGTTACGTTGGAAGTGGTGAAGGAAGTAGTCAAGGCGAGCTGTCCGGAGTTTGGGAACTGTTAATAACGATTAGATTAAGGTATCTACAATCCTAAAATGCTATGGGGAGGGAGGGAAACAGGTCCGTGACATAGGAAGTGGTGAAGAAAGTAGTCAAGGTGAGCTGTCCGGAGCGTGGGAACTGTTTATGATGATTAGATTAAGGTATTTGCAATCCTAAAATGCTATGGAAAGGGAGGAAAACAGGTCCGCGGTGTAGGAATTGGTGAAGGAAGTAGTCAAGGTGAGTAGTCCGGAGTGTGGGAACTGTTTATGACGATTAGATTAAGGTATCTGCAATCCTAAAATGCTATGGGAAGGGAGGGAAACAGGTCCGCGATGTAGGAAGTAGTGAAGGAAGTAGTCAAGGTGAGTAGTCCGGAGTGTGAGAACTGTTTATGACGATTAGATAAAGGTATTTGCATTATTTGCAATCCTAAAATGCTATGGAAAGGGAGGGAAACAGGTTTGCGACACAGTAAGTGGTGAAGGAAGTAGTAAAGGCGAGTAGTATGGAGCGTGGGAACTGTTTAGGACGATTAGATTAAGGTGTCTGCGCAATTCTGAAATGCCATGTGAAGGGAGGAAAACAGGTCCGCTACGTTGGAAGTGGTGAAGGAAATGGTCAAGGCGAGCTGTCCGGAGTGTGGGAACTGTTAATAACGATTAGATTAAGGTATGTACAATCCTAAAGTGCTATGGGAATGGAGGGAAACAGGTCCATGACGTAGGAAATGGTGTAGGACGTAGTAAAGGGGAGCCGTGTGGAGTTTAGGAATGGATTTATGTATCTCCAATACTAAGACTGCTTTCAGAGTGAATTAATGATTTCCCCGAGCAAAGCTCGGTCCCCATCAGGTACTAAATACTTTATTCATTATTAGTATTTACATGAATACATTGAACAGGGTCAAATCTCCAAACTAGTACCATTGAATATTTGATACAGATATGAAGTTGTTGTATTAATAGTCAAAGCTATAATCTGGCTGAAATATTTAGGCGGTTTAAGGGGAAGAACTCTTATCCCCTCCACTGGAACTGACCAAGACTGCTGTTTGCTGTTATGTATAAGACGTAAACAAACCACTTCTATTTTTCATTTTTACCTAATTCATACAGGCCTTATACATGGTTGGAATTAGACGTTTTTTGATTGGAAAAGGCTGATTTTCAAATTATATCCTGGGGGCCTAGGGGGTATTCCATACTAAAATTTCTAAATTTAGGCACTGAAATCTGTGTTTGTAGCTATTATATGTGACGCGAAAAATGTTATCAAATTCGTCTTGATTTAAAAGTTTGTTTAGTATAGCATACACAGTTAAGAAAACCATAAAAAAACTAACTAAATTACCGGTACTGTAACACTTAAAAAATATAGCTCTTTTTATAACAAAATATAGGTTAAATATACAGATAAATAACCTGAACTTGAATTTAACAAACAAATAAATGGACGCAATGACGCCTATCACAAACGTCCAGTACGCAAAAGGAGTCCGTGACGTACTAGGTTTCTGACGGAGCATTTTTCTCCCAGTGACTAGATCACTGAGTAACTAAAGACTTATAGAGATCCATCACCATTAAAAAAAGTTGTTATTTATTCTTTTTACCTGCTCGACAGAAAAGTGGATATATATCCACTTTTCTATTTTCAATCGAGCTATAATCACCTATAAACACCACTATACAACCAATAACGATCTCAAAGGTTCATTTCTGCTCATGGATTGGAAAAGTGAGCCCGTGGACTTACGTATTTATAAGTGAGCGAATCAGTGTTACGTTTTCAAAAGATCGCTTTGAAAGCGATCCCGCAGATTTGTTACAGCGAGTCTGTGGACTCGCGGTGACATTTTTTCGGCGTTGTAAACTGCTCAATTTGAGCAATATTAAAAAAATAAAATTAAAAGATCAAAAGGTTACAGCTCAAATTTAAAAGCTATCAAAGCTAAATTAGAATAATATTTTCATTAGCAGTATTAAAAATAATTTAATTAAAATAGTAACTAAACAAAATAATTAATTTCTAATATAACATTATTAGTCATTAAAGTCGTTGATGTTGGTATATTATAACAACATTTACATTATTATTCTACAATCAATATTAACCCTTTGATTGCCACGGTTTTCAATATTGTTAGAATTCGATTCCGTCTGTGCTCTCCATATCAATGTCATCGGTACTGTCGCTGTCAGTTGTGTCGTTCTGGAGATCAACTACGATACGCTGGAAGTTGTCATCACGGATGCCTATTTCCTTTAAAAAGTCCTCTTTCTGAATATTCTCACTGTGTCGCACGCAGTTTTTCCAATCTTCAACGGTAACACGTTTAATAGACTCTTCCAGTAAATTTCTCACATCTTTAATCTTAAAAGTTTTGTTTTGCTCTGCCACCTCCCCTTTCACCTGTGACCAAATCAATTCTATAGGGTTGTACTGACAATGGTACGGGGGAAGTCTCACCACTTCATGCCCCATCCACAGAGCAATGTCATCGATTTCGAATCTTTTATATTCCTTTCTGTGACTTCTGACGATGTTTAATAATTCTCTGACAGTGTGTCTCGGGTTGTGAGGTATCCCTTTGCTGGTTAGCCATTCTGTAATGTCCTTTTTTTAGTCTTTGAAGAGGGAATTTTTTCTTTCAGTTTTGAGTGATAGCTGGCATTGTCCATAACAACAATACACCCCTCATCTAAGAGTTTCAACATATCTACAAACCATTCTGTGAAAACTTCGTGGTTCATTTCCTTGTGGTAGTCACCTGTACATTTGGACTGAAACACCAGCTCAGCTCCTTCAATGAAACCGTGCTTTGCTGATCCGGCGTGAACAATGATTAATCTCGAACCTTTAGGCTACCGATTGGGACACGCAAACCACCTTCGTTTGACGAATGTTGCCAAATGTATTTCTTTGAATGATTTTGGTTAATCCAGGTTTCATCCAGGTAAACTATAGGCCGCTGTAGTGGATCTTCTCTTAAGTCATGCATTTTTCGGAGGAATTCTAATTTTGCTGTTACTATGTCGTCTCTTTCCATTAAAAAACGCCTACCATCATTACACTTCTTAAATGTGAACCCACATTTTTTTAAAACCTTCCGCATAGAGTCTCGCCCCCCTCTAAACCCGATTTTATCTCTTAAAACATTCTTCAGTTTATCACAGGTCACATATTCTCCTCGATCATAGAACTCTAATACAGTACGTCGCACGACATCTCTGTCAAAGCCGTCAAGGCCTGTAATCCACTTTTTATGAGGCTTCTTTTTTGTAGATGATAGAAATTGGTTCCTACAATTATTATGTATAGGATTTTTGTTTCCTTCTGCGGTAATTCTTTGAATACTTCAAAGTGACAATGAGCA